GGAGACCTTGAACTTGAATTTAAAGACAACTCCCCAACCCCACTGTCTGGTTTACAATGTTTCTGCTCCAGCTTTAAAAAACAAAAAACAAAAAAACAAGTGATTGTCTTGCTTACTCTTTTTAAAAAAAATAAATATTTTATTGATTTTGTACAGAGAGGAAGGGAGGGAGAGAGAGAGCTAGAAACATCAATGAGAAAGAGTCATCGATCAGCTGCCTCTTGCACACCCCCTACTGGGAAAATGCCCACAACCAAGGTACATGCCCTTGACCGGAATCAAACCCGGGTCCCTTCAGTCCCCAAGCCGACGCTCTATCCATTGAGCTAAACCGGTTTCGGCGTTTCTTGCTTACTCTTAACAGCTGAATGGCCTTAAAATGACAAAATTGTTTATAAATGCCCAGCACACAGCAGATAGAAGGTGATGTTAAAATTCAGTAGATAATGCTGGAAGAAGGGAACCTTTGCAAGTCATCCTACCTGCTTTCTGTGGCAGAGAATAACAGAACTTTGAGACATTTTCACATGGCAAAGGAAGCATTTTTTTTTTTTTTTAAGATTGCTGTTTCAGTGCTTGTTTCCACAGCATATATACTAAAATTGGAACGATACAGAGAAGTTTATCATGGACCCTGTGCAAAGAGGACACAAAAATTTGTGAAGCGTTCCATATTTAAAAAAAAAAAAAAAAAGATTGATATTTTAAAACAAAGCCATTACTTCTTCCCTCTTAGCTGTAATATATTTTTTCTCTTCCCTAAGGATTGTTTTTGAAGTGCAGAGGTTTTTGGTTGAAATGCAGGCTTGTGGTTTTTACCTTTAGTTGAAGGAATCAGAGATTTAGAGAAGGGAGTGCAAGCTGTGACTTGAGCTCAGGTCTCTGCTTAGTTTCTCCCCAGTACCTGAAGTCCAAAACCAGATCCTTCCCATCAGCCTGGTTGTATTTAGAGCCCCTCCCACAATGGAAGTGCCTCCTAAACCATCACAAATTAATTTCTTCCTTCGGGATTAAGTTTCGAGCCTCACTGGCTGTGATAACAGTATTTTAAGGAGCCCTTTTCTAAGCCTCGTCTGTCATAAGCGTGTAGGATGAGGTTATTAAATCCCAGTAACTATATCAGAAACTCCTTATCATGTAAACCGGAGGAGGGGGTAGTTTCAAACACGGCAGCCTATCCTCCAACCCCTTCCCATCAAGGAGCTGCCACTCAGGTGCTGAGGGAGAGGGTTTCCCCATCCTGATAAGCATCTTAGGGATTTACAGATAAAAATTATAAACTAGTCTTCAGAGGGTCTCTTGCTTCTTGCCTTTTCTTAACCTCATATCTCCATCAGCTAGTGGCCAATCTCTTTCTTCCCCTATGTATGTTCATTCCATAAGCATTTATTGAATGCCTGTCAATATTGGGGATAAAAAAAGACTGAGAAATCCTAATGTTCAACAACTGACATTCCAGTGAGGGATGATAAACAAAAACAAACTCAAAGTGATAACACAAAGTTGGGTTAGTATGATACTGAAGGGCTGGAATGGATATTTGGTCATATTAACATAAGGTCATCTCTCTGGGGAAGACATTTTAGCTGAGATCTGAATGGCAAGAAGGAAACCTGCTGAGAAGAGATCTGAAGGAAAAGCATTCCAGGCAAAGAGAACAAGTGCAAAGGCCCTGAGGTAGGGCCAGCTTGGTGTGTTAAAGCAACAGAAAGAAGGCAGTGTGGCTGGTGCATAAGCAAGAGGGGTAGGCAGGTGGGAAATGCTTAGAGAAATAGTCAGGGACTAAATGTAAATATGTTGAACCTTGGACATGATCTTTTTTTGCAAACAGCAGGAAAAGTCAGTATACATTCATTGTCCCTAGTTCCTTACATTGTCACCCTACTTTACACAGACTTCCTTCCATGCATTTGTCCTTAAAAAGATCACTAATGGCCACACAGTGCTCAGTTACAGTTGCATGGGCTCTGTGCTCTGGACACTATAGACATTGGTTTGGTGACTGCATGTTATCTGTGTTCTGGGCTCGTTAGAGCTTATGGGTTGAGCAGGAAGCACCATACCTAGGTTCACCCTTTCTGGTGCCATGCTAATTACTGTTATTTACCCTCTAGGTACTCAATTCTTTTTACTTTCAGCAAATAAGACCTATCACTTTTTTATATATTAAGTAGCATTCTCTTGTGACAGAAACCCAACCCTAACTGGTACAGCCAAGAAAGGGAGTTGGTTATCTCTCATAACTGTAGATTAGGTACAGCTGGATCCAGTCGCTCAAACAGTGTCATCAGGACCCAATCCCTCTACCTCTTGGTCCTGCTTTCTTATGTTTTGGCTTCATTCTCGGGCTGTCTCCTCTCTTGCAATGGAAAGATGATCATTGGCCCTGACTGGTTTGGCTCAGTGGCTAGGGCTTTGGCCTGCGGACTGAAAGGTCTCAGGTTCGATTCTGATCAAGGGCATGTACTTTGGTTGCGGGCACATCCCCAGTGGGGTGAGGGAGGTGCAGGAGGCAGCTGATCGATGTTTCTCTCTCATCGATGTTTCTAACTCTCTCTCTCTCTCCTTTCCTCTTTGTAAAAAACCAATAAAATATATATTACAAAAAAGAAAGAGAGAAAGAAAGAAACATGATCATCGGAACTCTGGGCTTACCTCCTACCATCTAACAAACCCTAGTGGAAGAGTTAACTTCTTCTCCCCCTCCTCCCGCCAGCTTTATGGTTATACTAGTAATTGACATTTAAAATTGTGTAAGTTTAAGGTGTACCACATGATGGTTTTATGCATGTCTATATTGCAAAGTGATTATCACAATAAGGTTAGTTAACACTTCCAGAGACTTTGTTTCTTTTTTTTTTATTTTTTTTTTTAATATATTTTATTGATTTTATACAGAGAGGAAGGGAGAGAGAGAGTTAGAAACATCGATGAGAGAGAGTCATCGATCAGCTGCCTCTTGCACACCCTCTACTGGGGATGTGCCCGCAACCAAGGTACATGCCCTTGACCGGAATCGAACCCAGGACCCTTCAGTCCCCAAGGCGACGCTCTATCCATTGAGCCAAACCGGTCCTGGCCAGAGACTTTGTTTCTTGACAGCTTTGCAAAAGGTGTGGGTCTGGGCAGTTGTTGGTTTAGCTTGAGTTAGGCCCACCCTTGTTATTGGCTTAGCTTGGGTAAGTCCAGCGCTGCGCCAATGACGTATTCAGCTTCCGTAAGGCTGATCCCTGTCATTGGCTCAGCGTTGGGTAGGCCCACCCGTAAGCCAGTTAGCCAGTTACTGGTGCTGGAGCCATGAGTAGGCATGTGCCTTCTCCCAGGTGCAGAAGATGATGTCAAGTTCATCAGAACCACATGGAATGAGTGTAAGAGTCAGTTTCTCCAAGGGAATGTTGGGATACTGTTACAGGAAGATGGAAGAAGGAATGCTGGACTAGAAAAAAACCAACGTATTAACAGCTTTCTACTCCATTTGGCCTCACTGCTTAGTGAGTTTTTAGAGAATTGTTTTCAGAAAGGTGTTGGTGGGAGGTCTCAGGGCATGCTTTCTCTGAATTAGGGAAGAAGAGAAATTAGGAGGGCCACAAGATGTGCATACAGTTAGTTACTAGCAAGTGTAGAGTTATCAGTTAAGTGCAGTGCTCGCATTTAGGTATTATTGTTCAAATTCCGCCAGAGATCCAGGAGTTGGTGATTGTATCCATGCCAGCACTGACAGATGTAGCCGACTTATTTGTACTTTTAGCCCCAAATACAGCTTCTTGGTTATGTCTTGCAAAGTGAGGGGCTGAGTTCATTCTTTTGTCCCCAAGGACACACACTGCAGACTGTGAGCTCCTTTGAAGGAGGGAAGGGACCTCAGAGGCATCTAATTTGGGTTTCCCAGTGACCTTTTGACAAGCTCAGAGCCTTTAATAAATTCAGAAAATAAGCTATTATATCCAGAGGCTCCCTCAGCAGGGAGTCTATAAACTGACAATTGTTAATAGAACGTTTCCTAACTTCTGCTCTGGATATCTCAGAATCCTCAGAGCTGAAGCCACCCTTCCCTCCCCCCACTCCCCTCTAGCTGTGGTCTACTTTGTCTCCTTTTCTACTCACACCCAGTTCTCCAAAACCCCATGGACTTCCTCTTCCTCCCCTCCCACGTGCTCCTCCACCCAGCTTACTTCTCCCTCCTCCATTGTGTTGAAACATTCTTGCTCACATTACCAGTGACCAACATTTTGCTAAGTCTGTTGGATATTTTCCAATCCTTATCTCACCATCTTCTCTATTGCATCATGGATACTGTGGAGTGTCGTGTCCCCCCCCCCCCAACCCCCCCTCTTCCCCATGACACCATCTACACCAGAACACTATCTACACTCTCTGTTTCTCCTCTGTCTCCTCTGATTACTGTTCTTTCCTTGCCCCCCTTTCCAAACATTGGCATTCCTCAGAGTTCCATAAATAGCTCTCCCTAGATTCCCCAGCAGTTCCGTCACAAGAAAAAAGGAAAGAATCTGCTTCAAACTCATAACTCTTAAATTTGTATCGTTAGTCCAGAATTTACCTGCGAGTTTAAGATTCGGTGTGGCATCTCGATGTGTCGTGGGCATGTCACACGAATAATATCTCAAACTGGGGTCATTGTCCCCTGCCCTAGAGATTTTCCTCCTGATATTCTGCATCTGTGGTGATGGTGGGGGTGGCACCCATTGCCTATTCGAGAACCCCAGTGTCCTTCTTATTTCCCCTTTTCCCAGTGTGTTAGTCAGCAAATCCTGATAGTTTTATCTGTCCATGGAATGAAACCTGCAGGTGGGCTGTATTTTGTCTGAGTTTAGTTTTAGTGATTTGGCACTGTTTTATCATTTAGTCCATTTTAAAGTTTGGGGACCCCCCGCCCCAACCCCTGTTATAAAGTTCAGCTGTTTAACCAGGGTAATAATTTTAAAACTTTCTCTCCTAGACACCATGCCACAAGAAGAGTGATGTCTTCTTCCATTTTCACAATGGAGGACTCTGGGAAGACTTTCGGCTCTGAGGAAGAAGCAGCTAACTATTGGAAAGATCTGGCGATGACCTACAAACAAAGGTCAGTTCTCCAGAGTTCACCCTGCGTTTTCTTCCCATAATGATGGCAGCAGTCATTTTGCGGGGGGCATATTATCTGATGAGCAATGTGAAGGCTTAACATACATTATCTCAGTTAAATCTCAAAACTACCCCATGAAAAACAAACAAAACATGATCTTCCCATTTTACAAGTGAGGAAACTGATCCTTAATGAAGGCAAATAACTTGCCAGGTCGCACAGCCAGTAAGCAGCAGAGATAGAATTTGAACTCCAAAGCCTGTGGTCCTAAATAAACTACTACTTCCCGTCTTATTTTTCTGGCAGGGTTTTATGAATTCCTCGATGCCATATCTGGTCAGTACTTCACGTGGGGGGAAAGAACTCCCTGAATCTAGCAAAATGGGTTGTTGCAATTTTAAAAACCTGAAACCATTTTTTCTGTGCCCATATCTGGGAGGTGCTTGTGTGTGTGTGTGTGTGTCTGTGTCTGTGTGTGTATGTGTCCGTGTGTGTGTGTGTGTCTGTGTGTGTGTGTGTGTGTGTGTGCCAGTGTGTGTGTGTGTGTCTGTGTGGTGTGTGTGTGCCAGTGTGTGTGTGTGTGTTGTGTGTGTTGAGTTGCCATTGAGTTGGTTTCAACTCCTGGCAACTCTGTAAATGAATGACGTCCACAAGGTCTTGTCTTCAACAGCCCTACTCAGCTCTTGTAGACTCAAGCTTATGGTTTTTATGGAGTCAGTCCATTTCCTGTTTGTCTTCTATTTTTCTCAGCATTATTGTCTTTTCCAAAGAATCCTGTTTCTCATGATGTGTCCAAAGTAGCTTCAGTTTTGTCATTTTTGCCTCCAGTGATGTTTCAGGCTTAATTTGCTCTAGGACCAATTTGTTTGTCTTTCTGGTGGTCCAGAGTATTTGTAGAGTTCTTCTCCAACGTAGTTCATGAATCAATTTTTTTACAATCAGCCTCCTTCACTGCAGTGTTCACATCTGTCCATAGTAATTGGGATTATGAATGTGTGGATGAACTTAGCCTTGGTCTCTACTGACATCTTTGCTTTGGTGATCTTTCCTAAGTCTTTTGAGTCTCAGTTTTCTTTTGATTTCTTGGCTGCAGTCTCCATTTGAATTGACTAGACTAAGGTAAGCAAAAATCTTGAACAAATTTGACGTCTTCCCTGTCTATGTTAAAAGTTGTGTGTTTTCTTCTATAGGCATGGTTTTTAAAAAAAATATATTTTATTGATTTTTTTACAGAGGGGAAGGGAGAGGATAGAGAGTTAGAAACATCAATGAGAGAGAATCATTGATCAGCTGCCTTATGCACACCCCCTACTGGGGATGTGCCCACAACCAAGGTACAAGCCCTTGATCGGAAACCTGGGACCTTTCAGTCCGCAGGCCAACGCTCTATCCACTGAGCCAAACCGGTTTCAGCTATAGGCATGATTTTTATCTTCTTTATGGACACATTATAAGGGTGGGTGTGACAAATGACATTTGTATTATGACCAATTCTCATAAATAAATCTGCAAGGATTCACAATCAAAATTATGTTTACTACATGTTGGGCTCAAAAATATACCATATTTTCCAGCGTATAAGATGACCAGGCGTATAAGACAACCCCCTAATTTTACAGTTAAAACATAGGTTTAGGTCTATATTCGCTGTACTACCCCCCACTTCCGAGGCAACACCAGTTCTTTTTTTAATAGACCGCCTCTCTGACTCTGGCCAATCTGAGCAGGCTTTTTTTCGTTTCAAAAGTCGTCTTATACGCCGGAAAATACGGTATGTTGAATGAATGAGTGAAGAGTAAATTGGTTAAGAAATAGCTTTGGCTGAAACCAGTTTGGCTTAGTGGATAGAACATCGGCCTGCGGACTGAAAGGTCCCATGTTCAACTCTGGTCAAGGGCATGTACCTTGGTTGTGGGCACATCCCCGGTGGGGGGTGTGCAGGAGGCAGCTGGTCGATGTTTCTCTCTCATCGATGTTTCTAGCTCTCTATCCCTCTCCCCTCCTTCTGTAAAAAAATCAGTAAAATATATTTAAAAAAAGAAATGGCTTTGGCATCAGGCACGCCTAAATTCAGGTCCAACCTCTGTTTCTGGCTTGTTATATGGCCTTGAGACAAATCACTCACCCTGTCTGAACCGCATCTTTTCATCTGTAAAATGGAGGAAATGATAGTTTCTGCCTCCAAAGATGGTTGAATAAAGAGCTAACCTGTGGATAAGACTTGGCAACATGTAAGTGCTCAGTATATTATCTGACGTCTGGGAATTCTGCTGTAGGGCAGAGAACACACAAGAGGAGCTCCGAGAATTCCAGGAGGGAAGCCGAGAATATGAAGCTGAATTGGAGACGCAGCTACAACAAATTGAAACCAGGAACAGGGACCTCCTGTCAGAAAATAACCGCCTTCGCATGGAGCTAGAAACCATCAAGGTGAGGGGGTGAGAGGAAATGCTTCCAGGGTGGAGAGTGTGACTGGGGAAGTGAGCCCTGCAGAGCAAGGGCCATGGCCCTGGGCTCACTCCCACCTGCAGGCCTGCTGAGTGGATGTGGTGGTTGAACACTTTATGTTCCAGGAGCTCTGTGAGGAGCAAGTCACACACATGTCCCAGGGCCATTCTTTGATTGTCTATAATAATCTCATAAGTAGACAGTTTTAGAGTATTGAGGTTTGCTAGACTTGCTGATCATCTATCAACACTAATGAAAGAAACATGCAAATTGACCGTCACTCAGCTACACCCACCATCAATCAGGAGTACATATGCAAATTAACCCAACAAAGATGGCGGCGGCCACGGAGCTGGTGTGAGCAGGAGGCTTGGGTTGCCCTCTGTGGTGGAGGAAGCCAAGCTTCTTGCCTGCCTGGCCAGCCCTGGCCTCCTCTGCTCAAGGCTACAAAGTTTCAATTGTAGAAGATAAATAAATCCCAGATACTTGCTTCCAGCCAGCTCTGGCCTCCGCTCAAGGAGGTGCTGAAAAGAAAAATAGGAGAGGCTGGAGCTTGGGTTGCTGGGGGGTGTGGCCAGCCTGCAAACAACCATCAGCCCCTCACCCAGGCTGGCCAGAATTGGAGATTTGAGAATGGGGAGGGACAGAGGGAAGACCCCAAAGACCTTGGAAGCTGGGCTGACCCCCCCCCCCCCTTCCCCTGCATGAATTTCGTGCACTGGGCCTTTAGTGTGTGTGTGTGTGTGTGTGTGTGTGTGTGTGTGTGTGTGTGTGTATGGCTAATATGCAAAGTGCCCCCTTGGGAGTTTGACCAGGAGTTCGATTGCTCGCTATGATGTGCACTTACCACCAGGGGGTGGTGCGGAATGAAGGAAGGCCCCAATCAGTCCTGATTGCCCGCCAGGCCTAGGAACCCTATCTGTGCATGCATTTCATGTACTGGGCCTCTAGTCGTATTATAAGGTCCAGGGCTGTGCTTTCCAGTATGGTAGCTCCTAGGCACAAGTGGCTATTGACATTTATGTTAATTAAAATAAAATCAATAAAAACTTAATCCCTCAGTTACACTAGCTACATTTCAAGTGCTCATTAGGCACATGCCTCTAGTGGGTCTGATGATTGGACAGAGGGGTTGTACAATGTTTCCATCATCACAGAACGTTCTGTTTGGACAGTGCCCGTCTAGAGCAGGTTCCCAGAGCTGGGCACTGTTGACCTTGGAAGCAAGATAATTCTCTCCGTTGTGAGGGCTAAGCTTTGCATTATAGGATGTTTTATCAGAATCTGGTCTCCACCCATTAGATGCCAGTAGCACCCCCTTCACCAGGTGTGACGGCCAAAAATATCTCCAGACCTTGCTCAGTATCTGGAGAAACACTGCTCTGAAGGATAGAGCACATGATCACTAAGGATAACACTGTGCCCTGGAGACTGGTTCTCCGCCCTCACTGCCAGGCAGATCACCTGGCCAGCTTGGTAAACAGCAGACAGGCCTGAACCTACCCCTGCCCTGAGATTCCTGTTCTCAGTAAGTCTGGGTGGGGCCCCGGCATGTCTGCTTAACTCTTACCTATTTTTTCTTAATTAAAGCTCCCCGTGTAAATTTTGATGAGCTGCTATGGGAACGAGCCAAGGTCCTGCAGTGTTAGGTGTGATGGGGGAGACGGGCTACTCGCCCTCTGGAAGCTTCTTGGGGAAGACAAACCTAACACCAGGAAGCACTTAAGGAAACTATGCTTAGTTACCGTGCATAGTATGAGCATGAAACCCTCCTGAGAGAGAAAGATATGCATGGGTTGGACTGAGGTAGTGTTTGAAGTTGGGTGTGTGTGGGGGGGGGGGGGGAGAGAAAGAGAGAGAGAAAGAGAGAGTGTGTGTGTGTGTGTGTGTGTGTGTGTGTGTGGTCAGTAATTTGGTGCCCACGGTTGATAAAGAATTCATCTGGCCCTAGCCAACTTGGCTCAGTGGATAGAGTGTTGGCCTGCAGACTGAAGGGTCCCAGGTTCGATTGCCGCCAGGGGCACATGCCTGGGTTGCGGGCTTGATCCCCATTTGGGGGCGTGCAAGAGTCAGCCGATCAATGGTTCTCTCTCATCATTGATGTTTCTATCTCTCCTTCTCCCTTCCTCTCTGAAATCAATAAAGAAATGTATATAAAAAAATAAAAAAATAAAAAGTGCCAAAACCAGTTTGGCTCAGTGGATAGAGCGTCGGTCTGCGGACTGAAAGGTCCCAGGTTCTATTCCGGTCAAGGGCATGTACCTGAGTTGCGGACACATCCCCGGTAGGGGGTGTGCAGGAGGCAGCTGGTCGATGTTTCTCTCTCATCGACTTTTCTAGCTCTCTATATCTCTCCCTTCCTCTCTGTAAAAAAATCAATAAAATATATATATTTTTTTAAAAAAAAGTTATCTGGACCTGCCACAGATACATACAAGGGTTAGTGTCAAGTGGACCTTGGGAGTCCTGGCTTTATTGGTACATGGGAAAAAGTGAAACCAAAAAATGGATTGGGTCCCTGTGCTCAGTGGTTAGAATGCTGGCCTGTGCACCAGAGGGTTTTAAAGAGTTAGATTTCTGGTCAAGGGTACATGCCTGGATTGCAGGTTCAATCCCCAGCATTGGTGAAGGCACATTTGGAAGGCAACCAATCAATGTGTCTCATATCTGTGTTTCTCTCCTTCCTCTCTTCCTGCCTCTTCCCTCCTTTCCCTTTTCCCTCTCTTTCTCTCTTTCTCCCTCTCTCCTTTCCACTCTCTCTAAAAAAATCAATGGAAAAAAACATCCTCGGTGAGGATTAACAACAATAACAAAATGAAGTGGAGATTTGAGAGATGGGGAGGGACAGAGGGAAGACCCCAAAGACCTAGGAAGCTGAGCAGTGAGTTGAAGCTTTTATGACGTAGACCACAGAGCTCAAAGTGGCTATTTGAGATCAGTCTGGCCCATAGATGCTGCTTGTTAGCCTTGAGTGGTTTTTATTCAACATTTTACCCATGAAGGTTTTGAAGCACACAGCAGGTTGGAAAAGTTTTCCAGTAAACACCTGTATATCCACCACCCAAGCTCTATCAGTAACCTTGGCCATACTTTTCCTTACATATCCATCCATCAGTCTGTCTTATGTTTTGATGCATTTCAAAATGAATTGCAAACATTTATACTATACACTTCCCTTTAAATACTTCAGCATGTTAATAGTAACAAGAGTTCAGTGTTTGTTTACAGTTTATTCTTTTGATAGTAAAATTTATATCTTTACTATCAACATTCAGAGCTATGAGGCTGTAAAAACCTGGAATTCCGATTTCCTTTGAGCATTGGCAGGTCTGTCTACACCAGGCCTGCATTCTTTCATACCAGCCGAAAGCTGAGTAGTGGTTGCTTAGAGCAAGCATTCTCCAGTTCACCCCGGTCCCCACTGCTGCCCCCACCATCACCTCCGACACTGAGTGATGTGTCACTTTCTTTATTCCTACACCTGGCCCACTTCACTCATTTTATTAACAGCCCGGCCCCTGCAGGCATTAGTATTTGATCCCTGCACCAAGGAAACATAGTCCTTAAATTGAAGGGGATTCTTGGAATGGAAAACAGATGAGTGATATGGCTGATATTTTGGAGGGGGAAGGAGGCACTCCATGGATGCTGAATAAATACCAAGTTATTACTAAGTAATTAACAGCTTCAAAACTGAGCCTTTTAGCTGCAGACCACCATTACAAGCACACGACAGGTCCGTGAGATTCGGAGGATAGAGCAGGGGAAGAAATAGAAATACCTCGGAGTACAGTGTCACCAGCCCATGTTAGTCACCTAAGAGGAATGTGGTCAACTGAATCAGACTTCTTGACAACTGGCTTATTCATCACGAGTTGAATAAAAAAGCCTGTAAAGGATCACACAGAGCATCTATTGATGCCTCCCTCAGCTGACAGCTCATTATAATTAGCCCCAAATGAAAGCGCAACGTTTCAGCAATAGTTTTTCATGTCCACGAGTTCAAAGGACTCCCTTTGAGTCTCTGTGCTGGCGGAGAAGCTCGTTAACCGCATCCTCTGAGAACCTGAATTTGAATTTAGGTTAATGATCGAGGACCCTGCACCCTCTTGTTTCATCTAGAGGTGCACCCACCCAAAGGGTGGGAGGCCATCAGGGCCACGCCTGAGAATTTGCAGTGCACGGGGTCTGGTCTGGCCCGGTTTGCCTCAGTGGAGACACTTTCTCTGCTCACGGCCAGGAAACGGAGGATCAGAGGGGACCCAGCAGGCTGAGCCTGTGAAATGCCCTCCCTGTCCTCACCCTGTAAAGAATCTGCTTGTTCTGTGGGCGTTCCCCTTCCCAGTGGCTCTCCACGCCTCCTGGCCTAGGCACCATTACATCATCCTAGCAACAGCTTTGTTTACTCTGCTGCGTGTAAAGAAAGGAAAGGAGTTTGTCTGTTTTTAGTGGTGTGTGTGTGTGTGTGTGTGTGTTTCTTGAATTTTCTAAGTAGGGGGGCCTTTCCTGTGGGAAGTATTTTCTTTTGTGTGTGGATGAAGGAAAGGTAGTGAGGTTGTTTGGTGAAGAGGGAGGGAGAGTGGGAGAGAAAGAGGGAAAGGAGGAGGGAGAGTAACACCTGTACCACCTGGATTGAGATGGTGAGGGCAGTTTGGCATAGTTGTATTAAGAGCACGGGCCCAGGTGGCCCAGGTTGGATCTTGGCTCCACCATTTGTTACCAGTTGACTTTGGGCTGATTCTGTAACTGAGCCTCAGTTCCCACATCTCCGAAATGGCATTATATGAGGCAATGTAATTGGCCTACTGAGCTGCCACAGAGTAAATGATAAATGTTAGCTTCTGTAGTTGGGCAACAATAGGTCATTGAGATCTGGGCTATTCCCTGCCTTGGAAAGCACTAAGCTTCCTCATATTTCATATCAGACCCCTCCCCCTCTTTGTTCCTTTCCTCCCTCCCTCCCTTCTCTGCTTTCCTTCCTTCCTTCCTTCCCTCTCCCACAAGTCCAGTAGTTTCTTCTGACTCCCCATGCTGCAGGGCGGGTGTCCTGCATCACAAAGTCAGAACATTTGTCAAACTGAGTACACGATGTCCTGCTCTTATTGTGTGGTGCATGCTACCAAAGTCATCGTGATCCCTGATGTTCTCTCTGTGATCCAGCGATGTCCTGCGACATGGATTCATATTGTCCTCACAGAATAGGCATGGGGAGGTTTATGTGGCTTTCTATGGCTGTGGACACCTTGAACAAAATGATTACTTCTTTTTTTTTTTTTTTAATATATTTTATTGATTTTTCACAGAGAGGAAGGAAAAGGGATAGAGAGTTAGAAACATCGATGAGAGAGAGTCATCGATCAGTTGCCTCTTGCACACCCCCTACTGGGGATGTGCCTGCAACCAAGGTACATGCCCTTGACCGGAATCGAACCCGGGACCCTTCAGTCCCTAAGACAGTGCTCTATCCATTGAGCCAAACCGGTCCCGGCAGGCCGACACTCTTATCCACTGAGCCAAACAGGCTTCAGCTACTTCTTTCTTTAAAAAAAAAAAATATTTTTTTTATTGTTTTCAGAGAGCAAGGGAGAGGGAGAGAGAGAGAAACATAAATGGCTGCACATCCCCTACTGGGGATCGAGCCCACAGCATGGGCGTGTGCCCTTGACCGCAGTAGAACCCAGTTCACAGGCTGACGCTCTGTCCACTGAGCCAAACCAGTTAGGGCTGATTGCTTCTTGATACCCGGAAGCTATTTATAACTACTCATTGTAGTTATTAATTGAATAACTACACTGAGCCAGGTGCTATTTTGCAAGGATCAGGTTTGGGAGGGGGCAAGGTACCAGATGCTCAGGGTCTGGGAGTCAGAAAGCGCTCAGAACATGACAGCCCCCAGTTCCTGCCCTCTTCTGTCACTTGCTTAGCAGTCCACATCTGGGGAAAGGGCCTTGGACTGCAGTGAAGCTTGTCCCTGGCTGTGGGAGAGGAAGGTTGAAGCTTCTTCAGTGAGTGTGATGCGAGGATAGTCCCATGGAGATCCTGCGGTAATGGAGAGAGCAACCCCTTAAAGAAATTTATAAACACCAGCATGAAATCAAGGTCCTGGCAGCTTGTGGAGATTTGGGGGAATGGATGCTCAGTGGCTAAAAACATGTATCTGCTCTACTGGTGTGGCTCAGTGGTTGAGTGTTAACCTGTGAACCAGGAGGTCACTGTTGGATCTCCAGTCGGGGCATATGCCTTGCCCAGGTTGTGGGCTCAATCCCTGGTGTGGCACATGCAGGAGTTGGCTGGTTAGTGATTCTCTCTCATCATTAATGTTTCTATCCCTGTTCCTTCCTCTCTGAAATCAGTAAAAACATTTAAAACACACATGTATGTACTACTAGAGGAGCCCATGCATCCCAGGATTAGCCTTCAGTATTTTAAGGAGGTGGCAGGGAAGGGGGAGATGAACAAGAGCTTATCAGAAGTCTTCAATCATTCACTCAGTGTCCATTTTGTCATTCAGGAGAAGTTTGAGACGCAGCATTCTGAAGGCTACCGGCAGATCTCCGCCTTAGAGGATGACCTAGCCCAGACAAAGGCAATTAAGGATCAGCTGCAGAAATATATCCGAGAGCTGGAGCAAGCAAACGATGACCTGGAGAGAGCGAAACGGTACGTCAGGAAGAAAACAGGTCTTGGAGCCTTTGTCTCTGCTTTTTGCCGCCAGACCCAGGCACTGTGCTGAGTATAGAGAGTTCAGCAGTGAGTCAAACCAAGCCAGCTTCCTTACGATCTTACAGTCTCATAGGCCAGTGGTCGGCAAACTCATTAGTCAACGGAGCCAAATATCAACAGTACAACGTTTGAAATTCCTTTTGAGAGCCGAAAACCGACTTCTGCGCATGGGCCACGAAGTTTCACTTGCACTGTATGTGCGCGCCCGCATGTGGTATTTTGTGGAAGAGCCACACTCAGGGGGCCAAAGAGCCGCATGTGGTTTGCGAGCCGCAGTTTGCCGACCACTGTCATAGGCAAATAATTCCAGTATTAAGTCCAGGGTGCCACGGGTGCAAGTGACAGGATATCTTAATTTGGCTTTCGGTGAGATAATGCCTGGCAAGGCTTCCCAGAGGAAGTGCCGTGAGGGGAGGTGAAGAATGAAGGGTGGATAGGCATCTTGCAGGGGAAGAGTGGGAGGCAAGAATGTTTCAGGCAGAAGGACAAGCTTGTGCTAAATAAATAAGGCCCGACATTAAAAAGGAAAGAAGTTAGTTCAAAGAACAGTATTTCTTAAAATGATAATCTGTTGTTAACAGGACACTAACAGTGGTAACTAACATTGAATAACTACACTGAGCCAGGTGCTATTTTTTTTTTTTTTAAATATATTTTATTGATTTTGTACAGAGAGGAAGGGAGAGAGACAGAGAGCCAGAAACATCGATGAGAGTCATCGATCAGCCGCCTCTTGCACACCCCCTACTGGTTAATCCTGGGATGCATATGCCCGCAACCAAGGCTAATCCTGGGATGCATATGCCCGCAACCAAGGTACATGCCCTTGACCGGAATCGAACCTGGGACCTTTCAGTCCCCAAGCTGACGCTCTATCCATTGAGCCAAACCGGTCTCGGCTACCAGGTGCTATTTTTATAAGAAAGCACTTTAGAAAAAATTTAGATGAGAATTACATACGGTGACATGCACTCAATTCAAGTGCACAGTTCCAGCAGTTTGGACAAATGCATATGTTCATGTAACCCACATGCTATGAACACATGGACCCTTTGCATTGTCCCCACAGTTTCTTGCATTATGTTTTGGTGGTTTCTTTAGGGCTCAGATATACATGCTGAACTTTTCAATCTACTTAGTTAATATTGTACCACTTCAGGTAAACTGGAACAACCTCGTACCTTATCATTTCATTTACCTTCCTCAAACGTTATGCTGCAATTGTATTAGCTATTGCTACACTTATAGATGCTAAGGATTCCACAACACACTTGGAATTTTTGCTTTAAAAAGCCACGTGTAAAGACATTAAAGACAGTAAAAAGATAGCCTTTGTTTATCTCTATACTTAGCATTTCTGGTTTATTCCTTCCTGGGTATCTGGGTTTCCCTGTAGACCTGATACCCCCCTCACCCCCAACTGTCTACCCCTGGAGGTCTGGTCCCCCCCAACTGCCCTCCCCTGCAGGCCTGGTCTCCCCAACTGCCCTCCCCTGCAGGCCTGGTCCCCTCCCCAACTGCCTTCCCCTGCCAGCCTGTATTATCATTATTGTGCAACAGATCTCCAGAACGTTCTCACCTTGCAGCACTGGAACTCTAAACCTACTGACATTAATGCCCCCTTTACCCTCCAGCCCTTCGTGATTACCTTTCTACTTTCTGTTTCTATGATTTTTAACCACCTTAAATATTCCACATGAATGGAACCAGACAGTATTTGACCTTTTGTGACTGTGTTGGTCCTTGAGGTTCAATCTGTATTGTGGCGTGTGACAGGATTTTCTCCCTTTTTAGGGCTGCATAGTATTCCATTGCATATATTATCACACTTTTTAATGTATTGTCTTGATTTGCTTCTAACTCCTGGCCGTTGGGAATAATGCTGGTATGAACATGAATATTTCTTTTGAGAGCCTGCTTTCAATTCTTTGGGATGTATACCCAGAAGTATGATGGCTGAATCATGCAGTCATTCTATTTTTTATTTTTTAAGGAACCTCCATACTATTTTCTATAATGACTGCTCTTACATTCTAATGAACAGTGAACAAAAGTCCCAATTTTTTGGTATCCTCACCATCGCTTTATTTTCTGTGTTTTTTTTTGTTTTGTTTTTTGGAGTGGCCATTCTGATGGTAACGAAGTAATTTGTAAATGTTAAAAGCATTTATTGGCCCAAAAGGGACTTGTTCTCAGTTACCTAACAGATGTGTCTTTTAATACTCATATTTACTAAAGCTGTATTTTCCTATTTCAAATTCTCAGTAACTCTACATGAGATTAACTGTTTTCACCGTCTGTATGCATTGCAGCATTTTACTCTTATAATAATAAATATGCTTTTATACATCAATTGACAGAATTTCAATGTCTAAGGCACATAAAGTTATTTTCACTCAGGTTGCAACTGGGATGCTTACCTTTAGTTGAAAGTATATACTCACATAGTAATAATAAATCTAAGTGCTGTGCTAATAAGTCAGTATTACCAACACTGATTATGTACAGTCCCATGATCATTAGCCCACACAGATTCAAGAATGCCAGAAACATCTCTGAAGTTGGTTTTTTAGTTCTCTGGCATTCCAGGAGCCAATAGTAGATTTTGACCAAATACTGAGTTTAAATTTCTGATCCAGGTGGAATTTATATTGGGGGTACAGTATGAGGTATATAGATCCAACATTAGTTTTTTCCAGGTGGCTATCCAATAGACCTCAAACCTAGAACTGAACTACCCATATTTCATCAGTGATTATTATACCATTTTCATCATAAATTCTTGTGTGTATTTTATCTTTTTTGTTGTCTGCCTTAGGGTCATTTTAACTGATTCCAGAGTTGTACTCCTAAATATTGTCCCTTTAGGCCCTTTTGCTAACTTTATCTTATTTACCTTTGAGGGGAGGTGCTAATATGACTCAATCTGGACATAGTAGGATATGTTGAATAAATCAGTGAGTCAATCCCACTTTGCTGTTGAAGGCCCAGAGACATGGGGTTATCCAAGGACACTTAGCTAGTCTTATGTGGGAGAGACAGGTGTTAACTTCTGGGGTCCACTCCTAACAGATGCTTCTCATCACCATGAGATATAGTGAATAGGATGTCAAAGGTCTACTGGAGACAAACATGAAGTCAGTAATAAAAATTGCTGACATTTATTAAGCACTTCCGCTATGTGTGAAACATCTGTTGCACGCTTCCTGTATTACTCTACTTGTCCCCACCCCAAACCCCTGTGGAGGCACTGTCCCCACTTTGCATATGAGGAAACTGCAAGTTGCCTTAGAAAAGGTAACTTTCTTTACCCAGCACTTCTCAGTGCCTGTCACACAGCGTTCCATTGGAAAGTGTCTACACTGTCCACAAGAAGTGGTTGTCAGAGCAACCACGGGGGTGGGCATTTTGAACTTTTAAATGTTTTGTGGTACCTGAGAAATTAAAGATGGTTTCTTTTATCTGATAAATGCATATGATTACATTGTGAGTGCATTTTATTCGGATATTCTGAGTACTGTGCAGTGATCGTCTTCAAGAGAAGCTGGACCTGCTGGCCGTCGATTGGTCCTACGGAGGCCTTGGCTCACTGCTGAGTTTTGTATGGATGTTATCTCATTTAATCCTCAGAACAGTTTTGTGCACCTCATGAGCTAAGACAATTCCCATTCTGCAGATAAAGAGCCAGGTCCCCAAAGATGAAGGCCTTGGCTTGCTCAGGTCTGGGGTATCTAGGAAGTACCAGCTCTGGGACTCACGCCCTGACGTATCTAATCCTTCTCATCTCCCAGTGTGTAGGCACCAGATGAATGTCGCCGTTGGCTCTCTCGTTCAACTTTGCTTTTCTCTTCCCCAGGGCCACGATCATGTCTCTGGAAGACTTTGAGCAGCGCTTGAATCAAGCCATTGAGAGAAATGCCTTCTTGGAGAGCGAGCTTGATGAGAAGGAGAATCTCCTAGAATCTGTTCAGCGACTGAAGGATGAAGCCAGAGGTCAGGAGGCCTGGGCTTTGTTCCCTCTGCCCTCACCAGCACTGTCCCCTCTCTCTCCCTGAGAGCACTGCCTGGTGTCACCTTTGCTGGAAATCTGCGCCTTGCTTGGCACACAGGCTGTCTGGTCCGAGGGTGTGGGACTACACTAAAGTTCCAGTTAATTGTTTATAACATTTAGTTTAGAATGTGTGGCCAGTAGAAGGGGGATTAAAAAGAAAAGCTTAGCCCTAGCTGGTTTGGCTCAGTGGATAGAGCATTGGACTGAAGACTGGAAGGTCCTGGGTTTGATTCCAGTCAAGGGCACATGCCCAGGTTGTGAGCTCGATTCCCCATGTTGGGTGTGCAGGTGGTAGCCAATCAATGATACTCCCTCATCATTGATGTTTCTATATGTCTCTCCCTCTCCCTGCCTCTCTGAAATCAATAAAAATATATTTTTTAAAAAGAAGAAAAGAAAAACCAAGTTTAAGAATAGTTGTTTCTAAATGTAAGGAAGTGGTTAAATAAATTACATAGACTTATTTTGTGCAATGTTAACCAATATTTAAATTAATGGTATTGATATAAATGCAATTATAGAACAATTGTTAGGGCTGGCCAATGAAGGGAGGAAGATAAGTCATAGACAGTAGATGTATGTTTCAGTTTATGCTAACTAAAAATCACATAAGATGCTTAATAGATACACACATACATACCAGGTGGGGCAAAAATAGGTTTACTGTTCTGAGTATGCAAAACAGTTTATTCTCATATTACTATTTATTAATTATTAGAGGCCTGGTGCATGAAAATTAATGCACTGGAGATGAGGGTCCCTTAGCCTGGCCCGTCCCCTCTCCCAGTCTGGGAGCCCTCAGGGGCAGGAGGTGACCTGGCAATAGGGAAGGTGACACCCCACTGCGGGCAGCGTAAGCCTTGGCCTGCGCTGGTTACCTGAGCCTCGGGTGGCCCTGAGTGGCTGGGCAGTCACCATCTGAGGCCTGCCTGTGCCTCGGGCCGGTCCTGGGTGGCTGGGGGGCCGAGGGGACTGGGCACAGTCATCTTATAGCTGTGGTCATTGCCATCTTGAAGGGTGTTTCAGTCAATTAGCATTTTCCCTTCTTATTGGCTGTGGGCACCGCCATCTTTGAGGGCGGGACAGTCAATTAGCATATTCCCTCTTTATTAGATAGGACTGTATTATTTTCCATATGAACAACAGTAAACCTACCTTTGCCCCACCCTGTATAAATTGTATTTTTGAAAATGCAGAGAAAAGGGATTGGAAAGAGCTCCCTGTTATGGTTGATAGATGAGGGGATGGGTTGGGGAAGCATATATATTTTTTTAAATTATTTTATTGATTTTCTACAGAGAGGAAAGGAGAGGGATAGAGAGTTAGAAACATCAGCTGCCTCCTGCACACTTCCCAATGGGGATGTGCCCGCAACTAAGGTACGTGCCCTTGACCAGAATCTAACCTGGCACCTTTCAGTTCACAGGCTGACGCTCTATCCACTGAGCCAAACCGGTTAGGGCGGGAAGCATATTTTTTCACCTAGAATTCTACATTGGCATTCTTTTGAAACAATAAAAGCATTAGTGTATCACTGTCATGGTTATTTATTTTTTTTATATACCTTTTGGTTTTTACGCAAAAGAAAAATCATGTAGTTTTATAAGCCTGGTAGGCAACATCCTGTGGGTTTCATGTTATTCAGGTTTTCTAGCTGAAGTTTCTCACCTTGATACTTCTTTTCCTTGATCAGTGCCTACTGCTGACCCCTTCCCCTTCCACATCTCCATTCCCATCACCCAGTGCAAAGGCTTAATCTGAATTCTTTCCCTCATGCAGATTTGCGGCAGGAATTGGCTGTGCAGCAAAAGCAAGAGAAACCCAGGACTCCCATGCCCAGCTCGGTGGCAGCTGAAAGGACAGACATAGCCGTGCAGGCCACGAGCTCAGTGCCGTCCACTCCTGTGGCACATCGGGCACCCAGCTCTAGCTTCACCACACCGGGGGCGTGCAGACGTGGTAAGGAGAATGGAGTCGAGAGGACTTTCTTTGCCTCACAAAGCTTTCCTGAGTGAGAGAGAAATTGGGCTGGGCTAGACAGCAGGGAGCAAACTGGGATGCTACAGGGCAGAGCATTGAGGCCCGTGAGAAGAGCCTCTTGCGTGTGAGGCAGTAGAGAGCAGAGGAGTCTGGGATGAGCTGGAAAATAAAGCCTCATTTGGAGGGGGCTCTGTTCCTGCCACAGGAAAGTTAGGCCCAGCATTAGCAGACATTTCCATTCTTCACCAGAAACCAGAAATCTTCTTGTTGAATATGAACTCTTCCGGATGTAAAATTTGAGTAACCAAATAAAAAGTGTTTTGTGGGTCTAGCAATATATCCAGCTAAAAATGGAGCCACTGTGACCTGCGCTGTGTTGTAAAAATGAGGAATTTGAGTTTTCACCCCAGCCTCTCTGCTGACTGACTGTGAGATTCTGAAGGGTTACTTAATAGTAATAATATAAAATTATTGAGTGCTCAGTATGTGCCAGTCACCCGGCTTAAAGTGCTTCACATACACACACACGCACGCACACGCACGCACGCATATACATACATACATATATATGTAACCTGACTGAATTCTCACTACAGGCCCAAAGTGCAAATAATGAAAGTGTTACCCTTGTTTGATGGCTGAGGAAACGGAGGCCTGAATTGAGGGGCTTGCCCCCCTCCCTGGTGAATGGCAGAGCAGACTGGCTCCTGGGCTTACACTGCTGGATACTGCTTTATCCCTTAGCTCATCCCTGGGGGTGAAGAGACTGGTGAGATGTCAGACTCCCAGTCTGGAGCAGTGTTTTCCACACTTTGGCAGGCTGGGCATCTTGTTAAATGCACCCGGGATCCAGTAGGTCTGGGCGGGGCCTGAGATGGGTTTCTAGCAAGTGCCCGAGTGATTCCGTGCTGCCGGTGCCCGGTCTGCTTTGAGGAAGGTGGCTCTGCAGAGTAGATCCTTTCCTTACAAGTGTGGTTGGCTCAGAGGTTCTTGGTGTTAAATTGCTACGTGGAAATTCCTAGGATTTCAGGGCTTGTGTTGATTTAGTTGTAGAAGAATAACATGTAAAGATAAACATTTAATATAGTCCTTGTAAGGCTGTTACAAGTTGATCACTGATAATAAACATAAGCCTCTCCTTGGCCATTTGCCCAAACAGAAGACACCACCTAACTTCCTGTGTGAGACAGTTAACCTACTATTGAATGAAACAGGGAAGCATCCAGAATCCAAGGCAAGAGGAGCCTCCCCCGCCTTGCCTTTGGGGTTTTGCATTTAGCGATGTCAGTGCACAGACTTATGACTGTGGGCTGGTGTTACATGTGCTTCCTTTTGCACACCCAGGTCTAGATGACTCCACAGGTGGGACCCCCCTCACGCCTGCGGCCCGGATATCAGCCCTCAACATCGTGGGAGACCTGCTGCGGAAAGTGGGGGTAAGACTGGCGCTCCTGGGTTTGCCGAGGCTTCTTGCCTGTCCTTCAGGAAGGTGGCGAGGGATGACCTTACCACTTCCTTTTGCCTTTCTCAGAGAGTTCATGACTTCTAGGCGTAGCTCTGGGTCTGCGGCATCCTTTAGAATCATGGACGCTTCTGTGGGCCCTGACTCTAAGTCATCCCTTTAATCCCTGGGTAGTTGTTTCTCTGTAACCATTTTTTCCTTGGCATTTGGGAAGTTCAAATGGTGTGTTATGATTATCTTTTTTCTTAATTTGAAAAAACAAATATTTGGAAATTGCCTTCTCTTTATTTCTCAGGAGTTAAAGAGAAAATCTTGAAAGGCTAGAGCAGGGAACTTAATAGGTTTATATCAATTACAGGGAAGGATTCTTTTGTGCTTAAGAAATAACATAGGTATTCTTTGTAGCTTTTCATTTTATTTTTTAAAAATGATGCTCAAAAGGCCACATAATTTAACTCCTGTCAGTCTGTCATCAACCAGAATGTATGTATGCAAAGCTGCAACTTAATAGGAGCTTGCAACTCCTTATGTTTTTACTTTGGGCTTTGGATCACCTGGTTTTCTGTTATATGAACAGCTCTCTGAATATTTTGCACAGTTAGAGTGTAGAGAAGCTTTGGGGGCGGGGGTTTCCGTGCCCTTTTGGTTTTTGTGGGGTCTGTTTACAGCAAAGTCCTTGTTCAAACCTCCATATTTCCCATAGGCAGGGTTGATAATCGGTAGAGTTAGTGATCTCCAGGAAGCAGCTAAATATCTTAGGTCTAAGTTGGCTGTGTGTTGGATTCCATTGGGCCCTACTTGGGAATTCTAGAGCACAACACACTGCTTTAGGCTCCAGTTAGAGATATGAGTTTTTGCCTTTAACTTGAGAGTTAAAAGCCTATTTCTCTGCAGGCACTGGAGTCCAAACTCGCATCCTGCCGGAACTTTGTGTACGAGCAGTCCCCAAACCGGACCAGTGGCCCCCCCTCAGGGCGAGCCAGCAAGAACAGAGATGGTGGTGACAGACGGCCAAGCAGCACCAGCGTGCCTCTGGGTGATAAAGGGTCAGTACCTTTTGCTGTCACTTGAGCTGGGAATTTCTAACTAGCTCTAACCAAAAGACATTTAAAAAAAAAAAAAAATAGAGGCTGGATGCATGAAATTTGTGCAAGAAGTAGGCCTTCTGGCTGCCGCTCCAGCTACCCTCTGGTACCCGGGACCCAGGCTTCCCTCTCAGCCCCTGCTTCCTCTGGAAGGTCATCCGGAAGGACGTCCAATCTAATTAGCATATTATGCTTTTATTATTATAGATATATATATATAATACATGTGCACACACACGTATATATGTTTATTAATTTCAGAGAGGAAGGGAGAGGAAGAGAGAGAGAAACATCAGTGATGAGAGAGAATCATCGATCGACTACCTCCTGCACAACCCTTACTGGGGATCGAGCCTGCAAACCGGCATGTGCCCTGACTGTAATTAAACCATTACCTCCTGGTTCATAGATTGCCATTCAACTACTGGGCCACACAAGTTGGGCCCGAAAGCCATTTTTTAAAAGTTGCAGGTTTATGTCGGTGAACTCTGCCCCATCTCTGGAGACAGAGTTAGGTGGTGTCTTCTGTTTGGGCAAATAGCCAAGGAGAGGCTTATGTTTATTATCAGATTCTGCAGCCCCTGGTCACGCTGTGAGGATGTCCTGTATAAATCACTTGTCTGGGACTTGAGCTTTTAACAGTGCTCTGCTTCCTCCAGAAGAGGATTTAAATAATAAATAAAAAACTAAAGAACAAAACAAACTTTAGAACCTTCTGGAAACTGGCAAGAAAATTTCCATCCAGACTAGAATCCTGAAGCCAGTCACTGGATTGGAAAACAAATCTGACCTTCATTTACTTTCTTGCCTGAAGAAAATCAGGACAGCTTCCAGAATCAGTAACTTCCTAAGATGTGCCACCATCTTATTGGACCCCAAGCCACAGTTTGGTGGGTCCCTGGCAGACAGGTGACAGGAAATGAAGAATCGTTTTCTGTGGCAACGCACATAACTTACAGACCATTAAAGTGGGTGTTTTTCAGAGGGTCGTCTTCACCTGGGCTTCCGGTGTGGCGTCGGGAATGTGAGACTAGACAGCCAGTGTCCTTTTCTTCATTTCACAGGAGAGGAAATTGAGACGCAGTGACCCTGCTCCTGAGTGTTGATACTCATTTTTATAACTGTGGGCCCCGATGCTAGTCAGTCGTAACAGCTGTAATGTCCGCTTAACATGGTTTGCTCTGTCTGAAGGTCGGGAAAACGCCTGGAGTTTGGGAAGCCACCTTCAAATCTGTCCTCTCCGTCGCTGCCGTCAGCCCAGGGTGTAGTCAAGCTGTTGCTTTAGGAAATCCGCAGAAGCAAAGCCACTGGTGTCTGTGCGGGAGTTACCTTTCGTCCCCTCTTCACACTAGGTTTTTGTTTTTTTTTAAGGTAGTTTGAGAAATATGGGCAAGCAGTCACACTAGCCAATGACTGAGGCCATTGCCCGTGGCCCTGGTGGTTGACCCTGTGGAATGCCGTCTCAGTCCCAGCCTCCATGTCGGTGTGTTGCAGATGGACAGGGACAAACTGGACCTGCTGGAAAGGGCTCTGAGTGTGAATGCTGAGGCTACCCCATCATTGTGAGCTGACCCAAGTCCTGAGTGTTTTTAACGTCCGGAGGGAAATGCCTTACAAAGGGACCTGAGCCCACCTCGGGCTCCCCAGTCCCATTCACCTGGAGCTGTCTTCCGGAACAAAGTCTCTCACTGCGTGGACAGCAAGGATCAGCACACAGATCACCTCTAAGAGCAGAGAGTAGACCAGGCATGTGCGGGTTAAAACTGTGTAGTGTACCTCCCACACTTTCTAATCTGGCTCATTGACGCTTTTAGAGGAGTGCTTGAGTTTCAGATTATATTTTGCGTGGACCAGATCAGTGGAAAATCTTTCCTGTTTACATGTGTCCCGACCGTTATTTGTCTTGCGCCCCACCCCTGGCAAGGGGTGACCTCTGTTTCAGGACTCTCAAAGTCATGCGGGTGGAGCGGCCTTGGAAATACAGCCTTTAAGAGTAGAATTTCATTGATGGCCATAATGAAATAATCAGGGTAACCTTCAAATAAGGTTAAACCACCAGGATTGTTGAAACTTCCTTATCAAAGAAGAAACGCTCACAGGATTTTCAGCGTGGATGGGGCACATGCTTATCTCTGCTGGGAACTGCTGTCTCACGCTCTCCATCACACGTAAAAAGAAGACATGAATCCAGGAGCATGTGTGTAGCTCAACGGCCTTCCTTTTGTAACTAAGTTATTTTTCCAAAAGAACAGCAAAAATATCTTTGCTTTGAAAATAGAACTTTTCAAGTGTTACTGAAATTCAACAGGGAATTAAACTTCAGTGCCTGGTTCATTATCCTACATTCTAACCTGTAATGGGAAAAGATGTACTTTTATTTTTTTAAAAGAATAAAACCAAGAAAAACTAATTTTCAACTAGTGTGTGGTGGTCAGTAAATGCTTTGTGTGTGCTACTGTGTTTGCTCATATGATTTCCCTTCAAATCAACTTCTTCAAACTGCACTTGGGATACGTTGGTGTAGTGTTCAGGGTACATTAGCATTTGGCCGCTCAGCCGAGCCTTCGCCGTTTCCATATTTGCTCTCCTCAAATCTGCCTGAACCCCCGGGGTTGGTGCACGGACTCCTTTGTATGGAAGGAACTTTTGCAGGGAATCTCTGTCTGGAGCCTCCAGCTGAGGAAGGGAAGGCCCATGGCCTGGTCTTTTATGGTCCTCACTCTAAGAATGGTTTTTGTGTTTCTAAAGGGTTGTTTTTTAAAAAATGAATCTGTGACAGAGACTATATGTAAACTAAAATATTTACTTTCTGGCCTTTACAGAGTTTGTCAAACCCTGCTGTGCAAAGTCTTGTGTTTTAACTTTAAAAATTCAAGGAAGTCTTGTGTTCTTGTCATCACATATGTACTGGTTTTGATGGTTAAAGATGTTCTTCCTGATCGTGTTCCTCCCTGAGCCCTGAGCTGCCCACGTCCTGGCACAGACTCACTTTGCAGCTGCTCTTTATATATATATATATATATATATATATATATATGTGTGTGTGTGTGTGTGTGTGTGTGTGTGTGTGTATATATATATATATATATATATATATATATATATATATATAGTGGGGGTTTTTTTTAATTGATTTTTCACAGAGAGGAAGAGAGAGGGATAGAGTTAGAAACATCGACGAGAGAGAAATATTGACCAGCTGCCTCCTGCATACCCCCTACTGGGGATGTGCCCACAACCAAGGTACATGCCCTTGACTGGAATCGAACCTGGGACCTTTCAGTCCACAGGCCAACGCTCCATCCACTGAGCTAAACCAGTTCCGGCACATCTGCTCTTTTGCAAGATGGGAACTCGGACAATTTATTTCACCTCCCCAGGCCTCAGATTTTCTGTTTAAGAAGAAACCTTCACTTCTTAGGGTCGCACTCCCCTCCTCCCACCCCCATTTTTTTGCTCTGAGGAAAACAACGCAGACTATGTTCCAGTGATTTATATCCTTTTATTTTTTCGTGAGGGTGTCCTTAAATACAGCCGGGGTGCATATAAAACAGTGTAACATTCCTGCTCTTGTCCACTCGGCAGCGTCTCCTTTTTCACTCAGGTGACTACGGAAGGCACTTGGTCTCAGTGAACTGTGTGCGTCTGAGGTGTGGTAACCAGGACGGGGAATTTTCAAACCAGGTCCTACTCACGATGTCGGAAGGGTACACAGGGTAGGGGATGGCTTGAGAGTGGGAGGGGCGGTGGCACCCATTTTTGGTGACTTTCCCCCATTTTATGTAAACTAAGTTGCCAGTGATTAAGTTTCTGTGGATCTATTTGTCTAAAAACTCAAAACCTCTGCACAATTCCTTGATAGAGGGGGAGTGGGTGTGTCTGTGTCTCCTGTTGGCTTTTCTCGTTTGGTACACGATTCAAAACTTAAATTGATGCCCTGAGCACAGGGAGGTGTTACGTTCATGGTGAGGGGTGTTTGTGAGGTTCGGAATTTGAAAATGGACTTGGACAGTGCTAAGCAGAGTCCACGGGGTGTTGTTTTTGTTTTCAGCAAGTTTGTCTTATTCACTGGCTTTGGTTCCATTGAAGTCTGCATCACGAGCATCCATTTCCTCATCTGAACCATCCGCGTTTTCAATAACTCGACGTCCTCCAGACCTTCTAGCGGGGACAAAGGTCTCGTTTCCTCGCCTGTGGGTTTCAAGAACACAGGTTCCTTTAGTACCGACATTGTCGTAAGAGACTTTTAGAAAGGGAAATAAAAACAAACTCGAATGAGACACAGATGCTGAGGTTGAAGTCAGCAAGTCTTGACCAGTTCCAAGCTATGGTTACGTTGGATCAGCTGGAGTGGGGGAAAGGAGGTTCTTCCGAGCAGAACCCCTGGCTTTAAAAAATGTCTGGCTGGTCATTCACCGACTCCAGGATCCTCGTCTGCGGTGACCACATCGCCTGGGTTTACTCGTACCCCGTGGAGCAGGTATGAAGGAGAAATATTCTCATCCTGCACCTTGCCTCTAGAGCGGGGAAGAGGGAAGGGGTTTAGGTTTCCAACTGGAAGAAGGTGGAATTGACGTTAAGGGTGGCCTGAGAGGGAAGGCGTGGTTGCTCTGGTTACAGGCAACGCAGCCACCAGCTTTTGTGGATCAGACTTCTTGGGCTGAGTTTCCCCAGGGTGGGGGTCTCGTCTGTTTTTACTCATCATGGCAGCCACCATTCTTGGCTTATAACAGGTGCTCAATGAGTACGTGTTAGAAAAATGAGTGGAACCTGTTAATCTAAGGCGTATTTTAGCTCTAGCTGGTAGGACACCCCTTTCCTTACCGTTCCCGCTCCTCTGTCCTGCCTGGAACCCTGAGTGACCACTCTGCGTTACCCGCAGGTGACCCTGGTCACCTGAAGTGAGGCTTTGCATAGGAGGGTGGGCGGGCAGGAGGAGGAAAAGTCAGCTCCACCTGCATGTAACCTTCACGGTTTGGAAGGAGTGTTTGCCTCCTTTTCAGTGGCCACAACCGATTACTGCACGGGGCTCTGGCCACCTGGCCCTGTTTTGACCTGATTCAGATGTCAGGTCTTAAATCATTCTAGGATGTCTAAGAAGAAAGCAGACTTTGTAAGAAAAATGACCCGCTTGACCACGCAAAGCCTGGACAGAAAAGCCACGAAGGTGAGCCCATCCCAGTTATATTGATACTTGAGTCAAGAACAACACGGACAGTCAGGTTGGAGGCATAAGCAAGGCTCACAGGATCCTGATCACAGGATTGGGGTCCGAGGGTGGGAGAGACACACCAGGTGCAGAGGATGGCACCCCCAAAGTGCGGCGATCAGGAATAAATACTTAAAGTTGTAGCCACTCCCAGCTAGACTCAGGCCAACTTCCAGACCTCTCATTAACCTTAAAACTAAATTTCCATCTCTAGTGCAACCTTCAAAGTCTCTTTCTAGGAATTTGGGCCAGAGATCAGGGTCTCGAAGCCCTGGGGGAGCAGCAGGCCAGGCTCTCCCCTACTTCCAGTTCAAACTTGGTGGGTGGCCTGGGGCCAGAATCAGTGCCTCCTGTTCTCCCAGGCTCCAGCACCCTGCCTCTTGGAGAGTATTTGCTAATTGATAAGCATGCTCCTCGGTTTGAGGAGGAAACTCCCCGAGTCATTGTAAGTCCTCTGTCTAGGCGTTAGTCCTGTGAGCCTGTCCTTCTGGTTCAGGTGTGTCTGTCTTGAAGGGACTGATCTAAAATCCTAGGCAAAGGTCGACACTGGCCATAACTGTCACAGGAAGTAAGGGACCCCTGTAAAGGTTTTCTTAAAGAGCCTGGTCCTGGAGAATGTGGGTTCTATTTGTGGGATCAGCAGGGACCAGCCCATCAGGGACCAGCATAAGGGTATAAGCCCGGCTGCTTCACAGGGACTGGGGCCCCCCATTATCTATGGGTCTCATACTCCAGGCGACCCTAGTGTTCATCCAATCCTATGTTCCCAATGAGCTGGCAGGAGAGCTCAGGAGCTGTGTGTCCTGGAATCTAAAAGCCCCTGCCAAGACCTCATCCAGCTTTAAGTATTTGAATAGTGACAGCAAAGCTGAGATTCTTGAAAAGGGAAGACAGACACAGCCAGGGCTTGCCTGGCCTCTCAGGAGGATGAGAGGAAAACCAGGCCCCAGGTGCCTAACTGTACAAGAAAAGGCTGTAGATGTCCAGACCTCTTAACTCTGCCTTGTGAAAGGCCCCAGGCGTTTCCTAGAGGCTTGGATACCCTTCCCCGCCTCCATCCATGAGTGAGTCCGTGCAGTGAGACTCGAAGAGGCTCTGCCAGGACTCTGCCAGCTCTGTGGTAGCTCACGTCACCCTCGCACACTGAAAACACAGCCAGGAGCCAGGCCTTGCTGCAACCCCTCGCAGCCCCAGCACTTGGAAGGCATTATGGCGAGCTCTCACTTTCCTTGCGGACAAATTTGTGAAACCCCACCCCTGGGGAGTGAGGGGGCAGATCTCTGGGCTGTGCTCCCGTGAACCTGTGCTTTGTTAATTCTGACTAGTGAACTAGACCAGCCAGACTGAAGCCATTCTCCAGGAGTGGACCTGCATCGTGGCGTTGTCATACCTGCTCCGTGCAGTGTTAGCTGGACGAGGGAGGGTGAGTGTCCCTAGCAGTGCGAGAGAGGCCCTCACGCAGGTAAGGACAACTAAGCGACACAGCCTCTAAGATCTCATCACCGTGTGGTGACAGGGACACATCTGGTGCCGTGTCATGCCGAAGCGGGAGGGGAGAAGGAGAATGGGTCAAGGCACAAGGTCATCTTGTGTTGATCTTGGTTGTGATGAAGGACAGTTTTGAACTAAAATGTCCAAGCCTTCCGATTTTGCAGGAATCTCAGAGAAATTCGCAAGGGCCAAAAAAAAAAAGGGGGGGGGGCATGGAGGGCGCGATGGGCAGAAAGGAAATGGAAACTGAGTGTAACACAGGAGCCGCAGCAAAGCTGAAGGCATGATACCTGGTGAGTCACTGCGCAGTTTCCTGGGGGAGGGGGCCTCTGAAACAGAGAGAGAGAGTCCTTGGTGGTTATCATTAGGCAAACGGGAGGGAGCTCATTTAAGTACCTTTTCAGTCATGGAGGCATTTGCTTTATTTAAATAATTACAGACACTTTTAAGTCAATCTTCCAACAAAGCATCTAAAGCAGTGGTTCTCCACCTTTTTAATGCTGCAACCCAGTGTGCGAGGGTGACTGTAACTTTTCGACCCACAGGTTGAGAACCGCTAGCAGGGTCACCTAAGACCTCGGAAAACACAGATATTTACATTATGATTCATAACAGTAGCAAAATGACAGTTACGAAGTAGCAACGAAAATAATTTTATGGTTGGGGGTCACCACACCATGAGGAACTGTATTCAAGGGTTGCGGCATTAGGATGGTTGAGAACCACTGATCTAGAGCCAGGCTGGCACACGAAAGGTACAAGCTACTTCTTTAAAATCAAAACGCAAATTTCTGTCCTTGTGAGCTTCTTTTAGGAACACAGGTGGCTTCCTCCCATTATGCAGACCTGCTCAGGAAGGTAAAGGCATGTGAGTAAGCTAGTTCAAAGTTCTACCTGGAAACAGTCCCAGACTAAGCCCCTGCTGCAAGGTCTCACTGTTACTACTTGGTCTTTATTGTGCCTTTTATGCCTGGGCAAGCGGGTAGAGGTGGTCGCCTTCTGCAGATGACTGGCAAAGTGGCACATGATGGGGATGCTAGACCGGCCCAGGAGGGCTTGCGTGGAGATTTATCTGGCTGGTAAAACTATGAAACTGTTTGCAGTTCCTCTGTGGAGTTGGCTAGGTTCCCAGCCTCACTCAAAGCTCTCTTTTGAGGAAGACCTATGCTTGATTTTAGGTTTAGTACATCTGGAAGACTCTGAGAAAGGCAGAAAAGGTCTGACCCGTCTTCAGCTTTCGTTATGTGTATGTTCACGTTAGGACTGTAAAATAATGGTTTCTTTTTACAGGCCTGGATGGCCTAAGACAGATTAGTTGTCTGGGGTAGAACCCACGGGGATGTTCCGAGTGTCCCAAGAAAGGGAGTAGTGACAGCAAAGGAGTGGCTGGCTACTTCCCCAGCCACTGAGGAGGGTCTGGGTCTTTGTGGTGAGAGCAGCTCTCCCACCGACCGTCAACCCTGGGGGTTGCCCCCCTGCTGGACCTGAGAGGTCAGGCGTGGTTTCCGTTCTGTCAGGCCCCTCATTATGCTGGGACTGGGGGCTCATTCCTGAATCCGGCACCTGAACCAGCTGTTCCCTTCCCTCTTCTGAAAGGGGTTTGGGCTTCCCCCTCATCTCATGCAGTGGTTCTCGAAGTCTCTAGGCTACATGCCAAAAATGGACTTCCGAGGGCCCCCGGCATGCCACTGGATAGAAAAAGTCTATTTGGTGCTAATGTGGTTGTCACTTGCTTTTTAACTGAGAAGCAGTCCTTAAAGTCGCAGTTATCAATCTGTGGCCACAATAGCTAGAACTCACTATTGTTTTCATTGTATTTAATCGTTACCTGGTGATGCTGGTGCAACAATAGAGGGGTGGTAATGTATGATTAACACAGTTAATGTAAAAGAAAATATCAAGTTATCAGAAGTACAGGTAGTGAGAGGCAAAGGTGGTTGAGAATGACCTGTTAGAGAAACATCATCTCTGACCCAATGATGGAAGGTTTACTCTGCACCCAGCTCTACCCCAGACACTGGGGATGAATCACCAGACACAACCTCTGTGCTCATGGGCTTGCAGGTGAGAGTGTGACAGATCATGAATGAGGTAAGTACAATACCCAGCAGGTTCCATGGTGACAGGGAGGTAAGAGAGGAGAACTGTAGGGAGTAAGGTTGGGAAGCTGAGAGAGTAAGAGAGATGAGTAAACCTCTGCAGGAAAGGAAGAGGGAGCCAGCAGTGCAGAGAGCTGGGGGAAGAGAATCCAGGCAGAACCCAAGGCACTGTGTGGAGCGGTCAGGGAGTAATTTAGGAGGCAGTGGACAGATTTCGTGAAGGACCTAATGGAACCAACCCTTGGAGAGACATGGCCCAGCTCCATTTAAACAGCTTCTGGCTGCTGTGTTGAGAACAGACTGTAAGGGGGAGAGCATGGAAGCAGGAAGGCCTGAGGAAGCTGCGAAAGTTGTTGAGATGGGAGGAGGGTGCCATGGACCAGGGTGGCAAGACCTGTTTGGCTTCTGGCTATGTAGTATTTTTAAGGGAGTTGACTAGATTTGCTGACAGACTGGATGCAGGGTGTGAGGGAGAAGAAAGTAAAGAAAAAAAATACAAGTCTGTGGTCTGAGTTAATTGATGGAAACTTTATCATGTTGAGCTGGAAAGGACTGGGAGAAGGGCTGGTTTGGGGTGAAGAGGTTCAATTGAGGCTCAGGTTGGGGCATGGAAGGTGTGATTGGCCCAGGAGTATTGAGTGGGAATGTCAAGCAGGGTCTGGAGTTCCGGGAAGAAACTAAGGAGTCAGGAGATGGAATTCTAAAGGCACAGGGCTGGCTGAGATCACTGAGGGAGGAGTGACAGCGTTGGACATGAAGAGAGAACCAAGATGGCACCCTGGGGCAGGCCCACGGACAGAAAGCAGGTGATGCTGGTGTCGGAAGCCCAGTGAAGAAAGTACAGGGAGGAGGAGTGATGGTGCTGCTGAGTCAGGTTGGGACCAAGGACTGACCATGGGATTAGAGTCTTTCTGTGATCAAGAGGAGATGGAGAGAGCCATAGTTGGTTTGGCTCAATGAATAGAGCATTGGCTTGTAGACTGAAGGGTCCTGAGTTTGACTCTAGTCAAGGACACATGCCTGGGTTGTGGGATCGATCCCCAGTGGAGGGCGTGCAGGAGGCAGCAAATCAATGATTCTCTCTCATTGATGTTTCTCTCTTCCTTCCTCTCTAAAAATCAATAAAAATATATTTAAAAAATAAAAAAAGAGGAGGAGGAGTGTGAGGCTAAGAGGGTGCAGTGATTTCACGAGAGGGGAAACATGGCAGAGGAAGAAGGTAAGATTTTCTGGAGCAACATCCTCAAGTTAACAAGAAGGGAGTCCAACAGAGGGGTTGGCCTTAGTGGGTGCTAGACAATTCAAGCCAGAAATGGGGCAAAAAGTAGAAGAAATGAGCACTGATGTAGGGAGGTCAGTTGATGGAGCAGTGGGAGCTTATTTACTTTCTATGATTATTTTTGTTTTTCGCTTAAATAGGAAGTAAGGTTATCAGCTGAGATGGGACGGAGATAATAATCTTAGGGAGGAAATAAAAGCAGATCTCTTAAGAGAGTGGGAGGCTGAAGTACAGCCAGCATGTTGCTTTTCTCACACCCCTTGGAGCTGTAGAAGGTGGGAAGTTGGGTGGTTTCAACCAAGTACAGCACAGCAAGAGGGGCTCAGGGTATTGAGGATGTGTGAAAGGCTGAGGGCAACCCCTGAGCCTGGGTTAGATGCTGGGTAAGAAGTCAGTGGGGGTTGTGAGAAAATGGGTTGAATAAAGATCCCAGAAGTCAGGAGGTGGCAGCAGGCAAATGATGGGATTCCTGGGTTGAATAAAGATCCCAGAAGTCAGGAGGTGGCAGTAGGCAAATGATGGGATTCCTGAAGGTCAAATTAGGGCTTGAGTTACTGGTAATGCCTGTGGAGTGACAGGGGTCATGAGAAGAGACGGTCAAAGACACGAGAGGCTGGAGGGGTGTAAGAGAATGTGACAGGAAGCTCTGAGCTAAATTTCATGGAATCAGGGATGGGAAGGAGCCCAAAGGAGCAGGGTGGTGACCTACCACCTCAGACCTGGAAGTTGCACAGGTGCAGGAGAGAGAACAGACCTCGGTGTAGTTAGGGCCAGGTTCTCAAACTTGGGTGACTGTATCCTCAGAGAACATCTGGCAGTGTATTGAGACATCGTAGGTTGTCATGGCTGGTGGGAATGCTACCATAGCGGGTGTGTGAGGGCCAAGGATGCTGTTCAACATCCTACAATATACAGGCCAGGCCCTATGATAAAAACAAAGACTTATGCAGCCCCAACAGTGCCAAGGAACCCTGAGTTCTAGGGAAAGGTGGTGAAGAAAAAGGCCAGAAGAGAAGGTTCAGGAGATGGGAAACTCTTTCTCCCTCCTTCTCCTCACCAGGATGATGGGCAGAGGCTGATGGGCAAAGATTGTTAAAGAACAGAGAAGGTGAGCTTTTCAGAGGCAGGGCCCCGTGTGCCTGACACTGCTGCAGGAAGAGCCGGGAAAGAAGCGAGCGAGGGCTTTGGAAAGGATAGCCTTTTGTGTCGATGATACGGAGTCACAGCGGGCATCTTGGGCCTCCGTGAGCACCCGGCCCAGGGGGAAACCCCTCCTGGGCTGAGCTGCTCACCTGAGCTTGCTCTTGAGCGCGGTCATCTCGCGGCCCATGGCCTCATTGCTCTCCGTGGCCTCGTCCAGCTCCCGCTGCAGCTTCCTGCGGTTGGCATTGATGCGCTGGGACTCCTCCTCTGCCTCCTCCAGCTGCCTCTTGAGTTGTTTCACCTTCACGTTTCCTTTCTCTGCCTGTCAAGGAGAGGCGCGGGGGTCAGGGGGCCCCTTGGAGGTCCTGGGGGACCAGCAGGGGAGAGGCTGGCGGCGGCGTACCTGCTCCTTGTACTGCTCAGCCGCCTTGCGCTCGTCCTCCACCTGCAGCAGCACCTCCTTCAGCTTCTTGTCCTTCTGCTTCAATGACTTGGCAGCCGCCAGTTTCTCTCTGCGCACAAGGGGGGAGCAGTCGCTAATGTAAGCCAGACCGGCATCTTGCCCACAGTGGGCACTTTTCCTGACCTCCCAATCAGCGCCTATCCCACCGAATTGACCAGATAGAAGATTAGGAGTCGTCCATAAAAAGCAGAGGCACCGACACCTGCTGTGGCAGGGGCAAACCTTGAGAACGTGTGCCCAGTGAGAGAAGCCAGTCACAGAGGCCTCGTATGAGTCGGTGCCTATGAAATGTCCAGAACAGACAAGGAGACAGGAGTTGCTTAGGACTGGGGGTGGGGAATAGTAGGGGATGTGAAGGATGAAAATGTTCTACAGGTGAGGGTGGTGAGGGTGGACCTACCTGTGAATATACTAGAAGCCACTGAATTGTACACATTAAATGGGTGAACTGTGTGAGGGTGAGTCATCAGTAAAGACGCTACCAAACAAAAAAATGGGTCAGAATCCTTACAGTGTGATGGTCACGAATGTGCTGTGAACTTACAGCCTGGTGACCCCGCCGTTAACATGAGAAGCCTTCCCATGTTCATGTACTAAGCGGTTGTTGATTTGGACTTGTGTCTCCGTAAGCATGACCTCCTGCTCATGTAGGTCAGGAAAAGCCACAAGTGCTCCCCGGGGAGCTGGCTGGCGTCACTGAGGAACCAAGCTGTTTACCAAGAGCAGATGACATTTCCAGGGCTTCCTCTGGGCCAGGGACAGGCTCAGCCCTTTCCTGCGTTCTCACTGGTTCTCCCAGCACAGCTGCCGCTCGGGCACCCCTGGGTTTATTTCACAGCCACAGCCAATGCCCGGAGAGGCTGCCTACCTCCTGGCACTCAGGGGCAAGCGGGCTGTCACTGGAGCCCTGGTCCCACCGTACCTCGCCTCCTGCTCGACCTGCTCCTCCAGCTGTGCGATCTTGGCCTCCAGGGACGCGATGGTGGACTTGAACTTGGACTTGACTGCCCCCTCCATCTCCTGGAGCTTGCTCCGGAGCTCTTTGTTCTGCCGCTCTAGCTGCTGCCTTGCGCTCTCGTTCTTCTGGGCTGCGCTGCGCTCCGTGGCCAGCTCATTGTTGAGCTGCTCAGCCTGGGGGGGAAGGTGGAGGTAGTGAGGTGGGGGCATGAAAGCCTGTGGGGTGCACTGAGATGACTAGCTTCTCCCGCGGTCTCCAGCCTTTTTCAGCCTCTGCACTCCCTCTCCTCCTTCCTGGTCATCCTTTAACTCCCAGCTCAAGAGGCAGCTCATCCAGGCGGCATCCGGGGCCACCCAGGCTCCCTGCTATCCTCAGCTCATCCCAGGCCTGGCGCACAGCAGCCTGTGGTGCATGTCACTGAGCCCGTGCGGGGCTTTTGCTGTTCTAGTGCTCAGGCCCTCACCTGCTGGGTGGCCTTCCGGACACGGTCACTCATGGCCTCCATATTGCCTTGTTCTTCCTCCAGCTCCTCCTCCAGCTGCGCGATCCGGGCCTCCAGGCGGCGCTTCTCATCCTGAAGCGTGTTCCTGAGGGAGATACAGCACATCTGAGGCCTCCCGTCCGCCTCAGCTTAGGAAACACCCTGTCCTTGGAGGAGCAATGCCTCAGGGCTGCCCTCACTTATGACTGAGGAAACGAAGGCTCAGAGACCCTTAGAGACTTGTCCAAAGTCACACAGCTGGGAAGTAGGGAACCAGGACTCATACCCGGTTGGTGTCAGGCAAAGCCAGGCCGGGGATGAGGACCAACTCCTCCCTGATGCCCCCAGATGCTCCCTGTCCCCGCCATGCTGTTCATTCAGAATGAATGAAACTGGCCACACTCCCACACAGGGTGTGGAAACCCCGAGGCCCCTGTTGCAAGTTCACTTGAGCATTCTGTCGTTTTCAGCATTAAAGTGAGGGGCTAGGAGGCTCACTGTGAGTTGCCTCTCCATCATCTGGGTCCAGGACCCCCCCCCCCCCTTCATCCCATGCTGTCTCATACCTTCCTGACACACTGCTGGCCAGCTCCTCGGCCAGCTCCTCCTTCTCCAGGTCTGCCTGTTTGCGAGCCCTCTCAGCTGCAGCTAGATCCTGGATGGTGGGGGGGCAGGGAGGAAGGAAATCTATTGTCTGCCAGGGAAGGGCTGACCCTCACCCAAGGATCCACCGTGCTCCTCACCAGGCCCCCAGCAGTCTGCATGGCCACCTTTGAAAATGGCTACACCGCCTCTGAGCTGAGAGGCCCTGCCGTCATGTCAAAGGAGAAAAGCCTGTGTTTTCCAGGCCCTAGCTAAGAGGGTCCACCCCCGTGGAAGGCTGGGTTGAGGAAAGAAAACTATGGGTGTACAGCCTGGGATGCCAAGGGCCGCTGCCACCGGATCCCCGTCTGAGGCACTCCCAGTGAGAAGGCTTTACCTCCTGTAGCTGCATGAGGTCTGCTTCTAAGCTCTTGGCTTTCTTTTCGTTCTCCTTGGCCGTGGCAAAGATTTCTTCTCTGGAGGCACGGGCGTCGTCCAGCTCTCTCTGGAAGTCCTTCATCTGAGCCTGCATGAGTGGACAGGAAAGACAAGCTGTCCTCAACTCGCCCAAGTGCCGTCCAAATTACCTTTCCATGGTAACCAGTAGGACTTTCTGTGATTAACCACAGGGAAGCCCCCTGTTGCATGAGCATTGCCCTCAGCCCCAGGTGGCCATTTGGGGAGTGCGTTTTGGAGAGGCTCAGCCGAACTGTCTAAGAAAAGTTGATGTGATCTGAGGGCCTTGGCCAAATGTCCTACCCAGGGCAGGAAACAGTCACTGAAAGCCAAATGGTGATAGAAAACACCAGCCGAACAGGCACAAATGGCAACGAGAAGCCTGCACCCTCCTGCTTCTGACTGACTTCCCAGCCTGAACCCAGAGCGCCACCCACCTGCAGTTTGCGCAGCTGCTTGATGGCTTCCTCCCTCCCCTTGATGGCCGAGTCAGCCTGCAGCTCCAGGTCTTTCAGGTCCCCTTCCAGCTTCTTCTTGGCAGCGGCGGCCAGGGCACGTTGCTTCCGCTCGTCTTCCAGTTCCGTCTCATACTCGTGGAGCTGGGCAAGGAAGAGACGGGCACTGCTGGGCCGCACGCCTCCCAGAGGCCTCTCTGCCCAGCCCGTTTTCACTGAGCCCCCAGGTGTGCGCAGCCCCCTGCAGGGCGGGCTTTTCTCTCATCCCCAGGTTGCAGATGAGAAAATAGTCTCCATGAGGCCAGGAAGTGGTGGTGGGAGGAAGGACACGGGCCGCCCCAGCTCTCCATCCCCCCACGTCCCCTGCAGGATTACCTGCCTCTGGAGCTGCCGCCTTTTCTCTTCATTCTGCTCATCCCGGGCCTGGAGGTCGCGCTCAAACTGGCCCTTGAGGGCCTGCATGTTGACCTCGAGCCGCAGCTTGGCATCTTCCGTTGCCTGCAGCTCGTCCTCCAGCTCTTCCAGCTGTGTCTTCATCTCCTCCATCTGGGTTTCCAGGGCGCGCTTGGACTTCTCCAGCTCATGGACCTTTTACAAGAGGGTTGACTTTCACGAAGATGGTCAGGCAACCACAGAGACAGACAGCTCACTAAGCTCAGGGCGATGGTGTTTGCCACCCACAGGATGCACAACTAGGAGTCAAGACCAGAGCCTTCCGCTCGGATCCCTCGACTCAGATCCCACCCCCAGCTGCTGTTCCCAACCAGGCCTGGTCTTTGCATCAGCCCAAGGGACTGCCTACAACGCCCAATGATCACTTAACACGGAAGAGGCACAGCACCAAAGCCCTCGCAGACCGATACATGGCACAGTGGGTGGGTTGGTGAAATGCAGACAAGCGAAAAAGAGAGACTTACATTCTTGCCTACGTCATCCTTGGAGCTAACCAGGTCCTCCATCTCGGCTTTGAGCATTTTGTTGGTCCTCTCGAGTTCCTCTTTGGCTTCCAAGGCCTCCTCCAGGGCCCGCGCCAGGGACAAGGCCTTGGTTTCCTTTTCCCTGGCTTCCGCCTCCGCTCTGTCCCTCTCATCCGCATATTTGGAAGAGATGTTTTTCTCCTCGGCCAACAACTGCAACACAACAGGAGGCCCAGACGTGACTGGCCTCTAGACTTAACCTGAGGTCCCGCTGCATTTCACTGCAAGGCCCGTGTCCTGCGGAACTCTCCCAGATGCGGGTGTGGTTAGAAATCTATGGACATCGTTCCTGTTAAGCTTGCTTTCTGGCTTCTGGGCCAGCCTTATGCAGAGCCAGCAACTGCTGAGTCTGTGCTTTGAAACCACAAATGATGCCCATTTTGGTTAGAGCATACAGCTACGGAGGTCACAGTGACATTTAATCCCGCCAGAGGCGAGCTACTCTTGTTTTATGGCCACAGTAGCCAGCTCTCAAAAACGCTGTGTGCGCCCCCAGAGTGTGTGGATGGATCTGCGCACGCTTGTCCCTCTGCTTGGAGAAGCAGTTCAAAGAACACTGCATACTGATGTTAGTGTCACCTTCTGGGAAGCAGCGTATTACATATGCAAAACCCAGACTTCCAGAATTCAACAAAGACATATAGGTAATGGGATCCCAAACAACACAGCCAACACAAAAACGCTACACTCTGTGACAGGAATATAAATAAAAGGGCCCTCTGGCCCTCGGATAATGAGGACGAGCTGGCAGCACAGAGAAGGGAAGGCTGGTGGAAAGTGGAGTCAGCATGCCAAACAGAAGCCCAGGACTCTGAGTCCAGCTGGGGAGGGGCAGTGAGTCCCCACATCTCCCAGTACAGTTCCCCATTGGGGTTTAGAATAGCCCCAAGTCACAGCTACTAAATCTGAGTAACATCTTAAAAGTTAGTATTTAGTGGTTTGAACTTTACAGGTATATGTGCACTTATTAGAACTCAGTGAGTGTACACTTAAGATTTATGCATGTCTTTGTATGTAAATTTTACTTTAAAAGAAGTAAAATTGCATATATTTTTAAAACTATGCAATGCTGAGGTATTGAAGGGGAAGTATACAGATGTCTATAATTTTCTTTGAAATTTATCTGAAAGATGAATGACATTCTGATAAGTAAATATGTGATAAAGGGAGTATGGTGAAATGTTGAAGATGGTATCGAGGGGGTGGGTATACAGGTGGACAGTGTTTTCAAATTGTGTGCTTGCAGTTCTTTGTACTGAAATGTTAGGGGAAAGTGGTATTTAAAGGGTAGAAAATTTAAATTACTGGGAACACTCAGTAGGCACTCAATAAAAAACTTGAGTGAATGAGATAAACCTCATTCCTCATTGGGACTAGAAACTAAGGCATGTGATTGGGTTTGCAGACGGTCCCAGTGGTAGTGGCCCCTGGAAAGGTCCACAGCCTTCAAAACTGCCATTCTCCTTACTCTGACTGTTCCACAGTCACTAACGCAGGCCAACTGTGCATCCGTGAGAAAGCGGGAGGGTGCCGACAGGCACCCAGCAGCCACCCGGATGCTTCACAGACCCGACTCCCCCAGCCAGCGTCTGTGCACAGCGGTGGGCCCTCCAGCCCCCCTACCTGATCAAACTTCTTCTGCTTCTTCTCCAGGTTGGACACCAGTTGCCGCTGGTTGTCTAAATCTACAACCAGGTCATCCAGCTCCTGCTGAAGCCTGTTCTTGGTCTTTTCCAGTTTGTCATAAGCAGCTGCCTTTTCTTCGAACTGCTGGGTGAGGCCCTCGATTTCCTTCTGGAACCTCTTCTTGCCTTCCTCCAGGGCCTCCACGGTGCTGGCAAAGTCCTGCAGCTTCTTCTTTGAATCGGAGAGCTGAAACAGCAGGGTTGGAGGTGGGGTGAGAGGAGGCAGTGAGGGATTCCCTCCCTGTCCCCCAGGCCCTGAAAAGCAAAGACCGCCTTCTCCTCACTGAAGACATTCAGCAGCAGGAGGAGCCGGGGGGCCAAGCAAAATGGCGCCAGTGCTCTCCGACAGCACGTCGGAGCCCCTGAGCTACCCCGGAGGCCTTCGGCCCGGAAAGGCCAGGGCACCGCCGCACCTGGATGTTCAGGGTTGAGATGTGGCGCTCCAGGTTCTGCTTGGCCTCCACCTCCTCATCCAGCTGCTCCTGCAGGCTGTTCCTCTCGTCCTCCAGCTGGCGCAGCTTGGTGGACACGTTGAGCTTCTGCCGGGTTTCTTCTTGAAGCAGTTCCTGCAAAAAGGATGCACGCAAGTCCCAGGAACCCCCCCTCCCCCCGGGAAGGCTGTACCCCAGGCCCCTCTGGACGATGGGATGGGATACCCACCTGGGTGTCCTGGAGCTGGGACCCCAGGGTGGCCACGTCCTTGGCCAGTTTGATGGCCTTCCCTTCCGCCTCGTTGAGCATCCCTGTGACGCTCTCCACTTCATTCTGAGGGGGCGAGAGACCGTGGTGAGCTGGGACCTCTAGGACAGGATCCTCTTTACGTAAGAGGAACCCTTTCTGCTCACGAGATTCCACCGCCACGTGGTGTCCCCTGAGAAATACCCGTGAGCTGTGGGGCCTGATCATGGCAACCCCCAGGGGAAGAACGTTGCCTACAAGTTGGGATCCCTGGCCTCCTCACAGTTACAGTGAGGACACAAACGATCTTCACTCCACTCCAGGACAGTGCCGGGGTTGGGATAGCAACACCCCTGCCCTCACCTGGACGTGGAAAATACATTGAATGCTTTCCCCCGCTCTCTCATCCCAGACTGTAAGCACACTAAATATTTATCAAACGTTTGACCATATCTCATGAAAGGAAAGTCGGACCAGATATCTGTTCAAAGCTAAATAAGACCAAAGGCAAACAGGCTGTGTCATTCTCCAGGTTAACACCCAACAATAGCTTCCCATCACAAAGACCAACGTACATCTAATAGGGCCTTGAAGGCGGGCGCTGTGTCACCCAGCCACAGCCTGCCTCCCTGGTCCCATTTTGTACCACATTTCCCTTCCAACGTGGCCTTCTAGCTCTACTGGCCTCATGTGATCTCATTTCCCACGTACAACTGGGCCTTTGCAAATGCTGTTCCCTTTGCCTTCTCTGTCGGATCATACATCCTTAGGGAAGCCTTTCCTGACGCCCCCTCCTGCAGGCCAGGCCTCTTGTTCATACATATCACGTTAAGTACCACCCCCTTCCAGCATCATTTTACATTCATTTTTGTGATTATCAGGTGCCTCTCCCTCCACGAGGCTGGAATTCTCCCGGGGCAGGAACAGTGTCTATTCTCTTCCTTGCTGTTGTATCTCAGGACTCAACCCAGTGCATGGCCTAAGGCAGGTTCTCAGTAAATACTTGTTGAATGAACGGATGAAGGTTCTTAATGATTAAACTGGATGGATGACCATCTCTAGTTACAGTTACAGCAGGGATAGAACTAGAGGAAACCGACTTGCTTTGCAGCAAGAGAGACTTCGGTTGTCCAGGGTGTGCAGCAGCCCTGGCAGAGCGGGCACCAGGGACGCCCCGCGCTGCCACCTCACCTGCAGCTTGTGGACTTTGTCGTTGAGCTCAGCGCGGGCGCGCTCCCCGTCGCTGCACTTGGACTGCAGTTCCTGCAGCTGCACCTCCAGCTTCTTCTTCTTGTGCTCCACCTCCTGCTTGGCCTGGTTCAGGACCCGCAGCTCGCCCGCCAGGTCTGCGTTCTCCTTCTCCAGCGTCTGCTTGTTCTTGTCCAGGTTGGCCTTGGCCTGGCCCGAGAGGCAGAGGGGAGGGGAGAGGAGGCATTACAGCCGTGGCCGGGAGAGCGTTATAAGGTAGGAGCCTCTGTCCTTTCCTTCCCCAGCGGGGTGCAGGGATGAGACAGAATCACCAGGAAGACTTGGGGTTCTATTTTCCTAAAGCGCAGAGGTCCCCAACCTGTATGCCTCACGGCTGCAGCCAACCTGCTATCATGCCCCCTCTGGCCTTTCATTACTTTCTGAAAAATGAGTGCCAACATTTTAATAAAAGAAACATCACATAAAACTCTGGACTCCCAGCTTCTCTATTAAATAATCTAGTGTCCTATATCATGACGACTGTGGCGATGGTTACCCAGATGCATACATTTGTCCAAGTTCGCTAAGCTACAAACTTAAAATCGGTGAATTTTACTGCATATACCTCACTAATTCTTTCATGAAAAAAAACATACAAAACAACAACAACAACAACTAAAGCTATGGAAACAGGAGTTTCAGCTAGCCCTATAGATGGGGCAGCCACACTTCACTTGGGCCCAGTCCCTACCATCCCTATCGTCCATCACATTTACTATCAAATGCACACTATTTCAGTGTTAAGAGAAAGTCACTTTATCTAACCAGCTCCTGTTGGCATGTCAATCTCCCCGAGAGAGAAGTGTTTAGGGTGAGAGGAGGGTTTTTGTTTTTACGGGGCCGGAGGGTGGGAAATAAGAGAAAAGCATGAAGGTGCCAAGAGCAGAGGAAACAACACTCAACTTTCCCATAATGCCTAGGAAGGCCCATCAGGGCCGAGACCCGTTTGGCTCAATGGATAGAGCATCGACTTGGGGACTGAAGGGACCCGGGTTTGATTCCGGTCAAGGGCATGTACCTTGGTTGCGGGCATATCCCCAGTAGGGGGTGTGCAAGAGGCAGCTGATCGATGACTCTCTCTCATCGATGTTTCTAACTCTCTATCTCTCTCGCTTCCTCTGTACAAAATCAATAAAATATATTTTTTTAAATAAAGGAAGGACCATCAGGGCCCAGGCAGCCCCAGGGAAGCCATTCATCCGTCCAGTCATGACTGAGCTGTCAGTGCCTCAGCCTCTTAGGGGAAACCATGCAGGTTGATAAGCAAGGACCCCTGGGGATTTGCCCCCCCCCCCCAAATTCTTCGCTCCGCTGAAGACCCCAGAACTATGGCAAAACCACACGTGTAACAGGCGGCCAGGTGGGAATGATGATAAAAGTTTTCCCAACCTACTGGGACCAGGGCTCCACGTTTGTACCAGAGTCATCACAGGTAAACAATAGGCGCTCCTCTGTTTAGAGCACCTGAGACCGCGGCAAGCGTCTGCAGCCTCCACCTGGTGCCATCAGCGGCTGAGTGGTCCCAAAGAGCCTTGGCTATGAACTGGGGCTTGGCTTCCAGCCCCCCTCTGACCTGAGACACAGAGTCAAGGGGACACATGGACCTTACTACTGTCTGGAGTGTATTTTGGACGGTGGGAATAGCCCATCTGGATTCGAATTATATCACAGTAAAAACAACTGGACAATACAGGGAAGCCAGTCGAAAGGGGAAATGTATGCTGTAGTTACAATCAGCACAATCTTCCTTGTCTGAAATATGTAAAGAGTTGATGAAATATTGAAGATTGGTATTCAGATCCCAGGTGACAAGGAGACGGGAACACGTGTCCTTGTTCATGGGGAGGGTGAAGGGAGCTTCTCAGAGGGTGGGCCTGGAGGGCGCCTTTTAGCAGCGGCCACAGGTAAAACCAAACCAGGGTGTGCAAAACCTGGGAAAAGCATCTGGCCTGTCGTCAGTGCTACATAAGGGATGGCTCCCATTATTGAAATGAAAGGGGACGCTGAGATTCTGATAGCACAGGGGAGTGAACCGGCTCACAGAAAGATACTCAACAAACCAGCTCATGGAATACGATGCACCCTGACTGGGACTTAAACAGATGCAAACTCCTGCCATTTCTGGTAAAGCAATGGCCTAATTTCACCTGGATTATGGAATACTTGGTGCAGGGAAGTGGGGAATGTAGGACTGAGGGTGAACAAATTCAGACTTTAGGGAAGCAATGTATCAGGAGGTCATGCATTAAAAAAAAAAAAAACCTCACCTCTGGGAATGAAACTCGAGGAAATTGTGGGTTTTGTGTGTTTGTTTTTAGCTATAAAATGTGCATAATAGCACCTCCCTCTGAGGGTGGCTGTGAAGATTAATCGCCATCCTGTACGGTACACAGACGATAAACGCTGGCTGCTGTCTTTATCGTTAGAAGCTTGCCTAGCTTGGTGCTTGTCTTAGACAGACTCTGGCCTGTGGTTACTGGAAGCTGTGGACGTAGCCCGCATGGACGTGTTGTCACGAGAAAGCATCGCCACTCACCCTCTTGAACTGCTCCAGCTGCTCCGTGAGCTCCTCCACCGCCTGGGTGTGCTTCTGCCTCATCTCCTGGACCTGGGCCTCGTGGGACCGCGTCTCCTCATCCAGGGCCTTCTTCAGCACCGTCACCTCCTGCTCCCGCTTGGCCCTGGATGGGAAGGACACGGCGATGGCAGTTGAGGGGGGAGACGGGGCTCCCCTCAGTGTTGTGCAAAGGACCCAGAGCGGACATCTCTATCACCACCTCTTCCTAGCTGTGTGACCTAACCTCAGGTGGCCTAACCTCTCTGGGCCTGGAATTTCTTCAGCTGGAAAAAGAGGAGTATGTCACCTGCTTAGAATTTTTCAGGGCCAGCAAATACCTAAAACAATATGTTGGAAAGAATTGCAAAATGACTGGCAAAATGTTCCGAAATATATGAGTATTAGCTCTTACTTATTGAGCACTTACTGTATGCCAGGCCCTGACCTAATTTCTTTAATACGTCATTTCATATACTCTTCAGAGTGGCCCTACAAGGCAGGTATATTGCTATTTCCATTGGACAGCTGAGGAAACTAAGGCTAAGGAAGGGTGATCCGCGTCCCCGAGTTGTTAGAACCACTGTGTGTAGGACTGGAAATGGAACCCAAATAGTCTGACTCTGAGTCCGTGTTTTCAAGGCCTGTCCCGGGGTTTTCCGTATTGTTGGCCAGGTGGGAAGGGAGCACAAAACCCAACGTGAGGGAGATGAATCTCAGTGTTCACACAACGCCTGACACAGATGCTCTCTAATTACATTTGTGTGTTTATTGAATGAACAAATGACCTAGTTTCACTAATGTTAACATTCATTTTTCTAGCAGGGGATCTGTAGTTGTTCTGTTGTGGTCTGTTTGATTGCCTGCTGTACATCTTAAAATCAAAAACCAGTCTGATAATGCCTGGCCAGCATGGCTCAGTGGTTTGAGCACCGACCTATGAACCAGGAAGTCACGGTTTGATTCCTGGTCAGGGCACATGCCCAGGTTTTAGGCTTGATCCCTGGTAGGAGGTGTGCAGGAGGAAGCCAGTTGATGATTTTCTCTCATCATTGATGTTTTGATCTCTCTTTCCCTTTTCCTTCCTCTTTCTGAAAACATATTTTTGTAACAGCAGAAACAGGAAATTTAGTTTGATAAGATTATTTAAAAAAATTAACACAAAACTGACTGGTAAACCCACACACTTGGTGACTGGGGCTGGGGGCGATTTACTTACACACACATATACATGAAAAGACATCACCCTTAGTTCCCCCAAAATGTCAACAGTGGGGGAACTAAGGGTGATGTTTTTGGTGCCTACTTTTCTCTAGTTTTCAAATTGTTCTCTGATGTCCCACTACTGTGAGTGAAGTAATAAGATTAACAGTAATCACACTTGTGTCAGTTACAACAAAATGCAGTCAGGACAGTAAATGCAGGGCCTGCGGGACCCTGTGACTCAGGATTGGCTGGGCTCACTCCGTCCGCACCAGCCACCCCATCAATGCGGTGGACAACGGTCCCCTCTCACCGGAGCTCCTGCTGGGTGGCCGTGCTGTCCAGCGTGTCCTCCAGCTCCGTCTTCAGCGCCTCCAGCTCCTCCCCCAGGTCTCGCTTCTGCTTCTCAGCCTTGTTTCTCGCGGCCCGCTCTGAGTCCAGGTCCTCCTGCAGGTCTGAGATGAGACCCTCCAGCTCCCGGATCTTCTTGAGGGCGTTGTTCTTCTGAGCAATTTCATCGTCAAGCCTGCCGGGGACAGGTCACCGGAATGAAGGTCCCAGGGCCCCAGGCCTCTGCTGTCGCATACGTGGCCAACCATGGTTTTCTGGGAACCAGCCCCTCGTGCTCCGTGGACAGTTAAAACATGTGGCACCCCACCCCCAGGACACAGCAGATCCCTCCTTGCTACACTGGACTGCGTGGACATTTACGTAGGACATGATGGGTCCCAAGGTCTGTATGGAAAGTAGGTCATGGTTTTGTGTGTGTGTGAATGCAAAGCACTGGCCCCAGTCTGGCATGGTGCCCGATTCACAGAACGGGCTCACTAGTTACTTTCTGAACATTGGACAGCGGTCCCTCCTTGGTGACTACGTCCTCTTCCTTCCCTTCGCCCACACAGGGACTGAGTGTCTGCTGCATGCAAAGCCCTGGGCCAGGCGCTGTTCTGGGTGATGCTACAGCCAGGCTCCCAGCCCGGGAGATGTGAGCAGTGTTGTTCGAATGGGGTGGAATGAGTCAGGCATTTTATGGAAGGGAGTTTCCTCCTGATGCAGGGGGTGTGGGGGGAAGAAGGGGAAATGGGAAAGAAACAGCATGAGAGAAGGCACAGAGGCAAGACTCTGCAGGGCAGGGCGAGGTGGGCAGGTCGATAGCACTGCACTTGTGAATGGGCAGCAGCGAGAGAGGGAGCATCGTGGTGGGGTTAGGGTCATACTGCGGGGGCAGGTGGGCACTGAGTACCAGACCAAGACCTGGGTTTCCTGCACAAGGCAGCAAGGTTTGAATAGGTTTATGACCCAACGTGAAGTTTCTGGTCCATCCCTCTAACAGGCAGCATGACCAGGGGATCAGCAGAAAGCTTTGGGGCTCAAATCCCAGCTCTGCCTCTCAAAAGTGGGGTGCCAGTCACACACTCCTTCACCTCCCCTGGCTCAGCTTCCTCCCCAGTGAACTGGAGAAAGCAGCGGCACACTGGCCAGGTATCTGTGAAGATGCCGCTTAAAAGGAGCATAGCACTCGGCGAGCAGGTGAATTTATTGCCAGTGTGGGGCCACTAGGGTGAAGCCATCTCAGGGTGGGAGGAGGGGCAAAGGGCTGGCAGAACCGAGGGCTGCTGCCTGCTGGCTGTGGGAGGGGCAGGGAGGGCAAACGCTAGGGAGGAGACTGGCAGTACAGAAAGGGAGATCTTCGAAGGAGGGCCATTCGGACCTCAGGCACGTGGTATGGGAGGCCTCTGGGGTCACCTGGAAAAGTAGGACTGGGGTGTGGACAAGGAAGGCTTGGGTGTCCAAAAGAGAGACACATGGGAGACACAAAGAGGGCTGGGTTTGGAGGGAAGAGAGGAAAGCCAAGGCGTGCTCTGGGCTTGCATTAGATGGAGGCCTGCCTGGAGGAGGAGGAGGACTGGGGCCACCGGATGGGCAGAGCCCAGGCACACACAGGCCATGGCCCACTACCTGGCCAGGGCCGCCTGCAGCTCCTCCTCCTTCTTGGCCAGCTGCATCTTGAGCTCCGCAATCTGCGCCTGCAGGTCAGCGATCTGCTCGTGGAAATCGCTGGCCTCTCCCTCCAGCTTCCGCTTCAGCTTCTCCAGCTCCTGCCGGTTCTTCTCCTCCTTCTTCAGCCGTACTAGACAAAGCCGGGGGCCCCTCAGGAGGCAGCAGCCGCCAGAAGGACCCCCGGAGGACGAGCCTCTTCCCACGGAGGAAATCCACGCACATGCACACACACCCCTCGCTGGCAACAGTCCCGCCCGCGCCACTCTCAGCTCAGAGTTGTCAGTGCCCCGACGGGAAGGGCCTTCAGTTATAACTATGTTGGCTAAGGGAGACCCAGGAGCCTGGGGAGGATCTGCCTCTCTTGAATTAATCTGCCATCCTCAAGTTTCCTCTCTGGTTTTCCTAGTTTTAAAATACCGGTTCAAAGCCTCTTTGGGTAGCCCGTTTACCTTCCAGTTCTGAAATCATAGATTCGTGCTTGTTTTTCAGCTTGGTGAGGTTCTTGGCCTTTTCTTCCTCTTCTGCGAGGTTCGTCGTCAAGTCACTAATCCTCTCCTCAAGGAGTTTTCGCTCCTTTTTGGGGAAAGAAAAAGAAACGCCATTATGGCAGTCTTTTTTTTTTTTTTTCCTTGCAGTATCTATGTCTCACTTTTAGTGATTTCCAGCTCAATAGCTGGAAGGAAAACCCACATGATAACCAAATACAGCCTCGAGTCTGAAATGGTGACGAGAAGTTCCCTCATTTCCAAAAGCCCGCCACCTCTCATCTCATGTCACCATGCCTCTCACACTTCACTGTGCCAGCCAATGGAGCCCTGGCTCCCTTCCCAGCACATGCCAGCTCCTCCCTGCCTCGGGGCCTGGGCACAGAAGGAGCCACCTGCGTGGGGTGCTCCTCCACCTCTTCTCCCTGTAACTGCTCCTCGGCCTTTAGGCTTCCACTTACATGTCACTTCCTCCAGAAAGCCTTCCCTGAATAACCTCCCTCCCTCCACCCCTAGCGCTCATCTCATAACACGGCGACACCTCCTTCAGAACCCCGCTCACAGTGGTTATGAACAGTTATGTGTGTGATGATCTGTTTGCTGTATCGCTAGAATAGAAGCCCCACGAGGGCATGGTCCTCTCTCACCACACATGCCCTGCCCCTAAGGGGCCTCCTGGCATCTGGCCGAAAGAACCAAAAGGAGCCTGCCCTCCATGGGGCCAGTTATAAGTTACCGACGAGAGCCCAAACCGGTTTGGCTCAGTGGATCGAGCGTTGGCCTGTGGACTGAAACGGTTTGATTCCGGTCAAGAGCATGCACCTTGGTTCCGTGCGCATCCCCGGTAGGGGGTGTGCAGGAGGCAGCTGGTCGATGATTGATTCTCATCGATGTTTCTAGCTCTCTATCCCTCTCTCTTCCTCTCTGTAAAGAATCAATAAAATATATGAAGAAGAAGAAGAAGAAGAAGAAGAAGAAGAAGGAGGAGGAGGAGGAGGAGGAGGAGGAGGAGGAGGAGGAGGAGGAGGAGGAGGAGGAGGAGGAGGAGGAGGAGAAGGAGAAGAAGAAGAAGAAGGAGGAGGAGGAGGAGGAGGAGGAGAAGTAGTAGTAGTAGTAGTAGTTACTGACGAGGATGACTGACTCATCCTGTCTGGCACTGGGACTTTTCCGGGTTTGGTGCTGGAAGTTCCACGTCCCCGAAGCCCCTCCATCCCAGACGAACCAGGACAGCTGGTCATCCCGTCGCTAACTGGACGTGGCCCATGAGAACGTGGGAGCGGGCGCAGACTCAGGCGCTGTGGCCTCCTTTGCACACCTTGGGGGCTCCCTTGGTCATGGTGCTGCCGAGACTTGCTCCGCGGCAGCCCTGGTGCTGGTGACCTTGCCAGGACCCAGTCCATGGCACACCGGCCTCCACAGGGCGGTCACAAAGCCACCTTGTCAGAGGAAAACCTCTGCTTGGCCGTCAGTACCTTTTATTTGGCTAAAAAAAGAAACACAATCTGAAGCCCTTGTCCCTGGTGAGCCTGTCGTTAGAATGTGGATGCTCAGCCCCACTCACTTTGGACAGTTTGTTGTTCTGATCGTCCATGACCAGGATGTCATCCTCCAGTTTCTTGATCTTGGCCTCGGCCGTGACCTTTTCAAGTTGTAGCTTCTGCCTCGCAGCTTCCTCCTCCTCCAGCTGTTCCTCCAGGTCCTTGTGGGGAAAGAATCACAGCCTTGCTTAAAAGCCACTCTCCTGGAGCCCTGGGGACTAACTGACACAGGCTGGGCCTGAGGACCCCCGTGCTCTGCAGCCTCCTTTCATTGGAAATTAGGGTTTGTCTCACGGAGCCTCAGTCCCCTCATCTATAAAATGGGGACAGTAGGTACTATGGCGGTTTTGAAGTGCATCCAGAAATTATACTTTTCCCCTCAAAGGTGGAGCCTAATTCATCTTCTTGCATGTGGGCAGCACTTGGGGACTTACTTCTAATAAAATCAAGAGGAAGTGATGGAGTGTAGCATCATCAATCAGGTTGTAAGAGGCACTGTGCCTTCCTCCCATTTTCTCTCTCTCTCTCTCTCTCTCTCTCTCTCTCTCTCTCTCTCTCTCTCTCTCTCTCTCTCTCTTTTGCAACTCACTCCTTCTGGGGCAGTGTCTCGCAAACCGTGGCTCTCGAGCCACATGCATCTCTTTGGCCCCTTGAGTGTGGCTCTTCCACAAAATACCATGGCCTGGGCAAGTCTATTTTGAAGAAGTGGCATTAGAAGAAGTTTAAGTTAAAAAAAATTTGGCTCTCCAAAGAAATTTCAATCGTTTTACTGTTGATATTTGGCTCTGGTGAATAAGGAGTTTGCCGACCACTGTTCTGTGGGAAGCCAGCTGCCAAGTTGTGAGGACACTCAAGCTCACATGGTGAGGAACTGAGGCCTCCTGCCTACAGCCATGTGAGTGAGCCATGTAGGAGTGGGTCCTCCAGCCCCTGTCAAGCCTTCAGATGACTGCAGCCCAGCTGGCATCTTTTTTTTTTTTTTAATCTATATTTGGCAATATTTTTCTATTTTTTGTTTTGTTTATAATTTCTTTATTGATTAAGGTGTTCCATATGTGTCCTTATTCCCCTATTACTCCTTCTTTTCCCCCTGCCAGCTGACATCTTGACTATAACTTCATGAGAGACCCATCTAGCTAAGCCACTGTCAGATTCCTGAAGTAAATGTTTATCTTGGGTGTTCTGTTCTGCAACAATATAATTACCCCTCACACACAGCTATTATTAGGAGAAAAAAAAAATAAATAAAAGCACACGAAGGCAGGGCAGAACAGGGCGGGCTTTCGAGGAGACCTTTGTGCACAGACGGCTGTTCCCTCCCAAGCCCTCGTCTCTTTATCTGTGCAGTGGGGACATTTTTCATCAGACGGGCCTCACAGGCCTGCCTGCAGGGAAGGTCAGCCCCTCCAGCGCCTTACCAGCATCTGCTGGGCCATCTTCTTCCTTTCCGCCTGCAGCTGCTGGCCCCGGTCCTCCTCCTCCTCCAGGCGGGCCTCCATCTCATGCAGGATCTCCTCCAGCTCCTGCTTCTTGGCTGCCAGCCGGACCCGCATCTCCTCCGCCTCGGCGTACAGCTCCGTCTCCGCCTGCAGCTGCTCCTGCAGCAGGTTCTTCTCCTCGGCCAGCTGCACGCGGGGGTGGGAGGCGGCCAGTGAGCCCCCCGGGAGCAGGCATCCTGCCTCCCCCTCGGCCCCCCGTCACGCTCCCCGACAGGCACCTGCGAGTGCTTCTGCTCCAGCTCCTTGAGCTCGCTCTCCGCCTTCTGCTGCCGCTCCTTGGTCTTCTGCAGCTCATCCTCCTTGGCCTGCATCTCCTCCTCCTGCCGCGTCACCTGCAGCAGGGGCTTCACCTGCGCGCGCACACACACACACACACACAGACACACACCGTCAGCGCATCGTTTATTTTCATGGCAAAAGGGATACAGTCTTGTAATAAAAGTCGATCAGTGCTTCTCAGCCAGGGGTGATTTTAAACCACCCCCTCCCACCCCCCAGGGGACGATGTGTGACAATTTCTGGAGACCGTTTCAGCCGTCACAACTGGGGCCAGGGGTGCTACCAGCATAGAGGCCAGGGAAGCTGCTAAACATTCTAGAATTAGGGGAGCTCTCTCACAGCACAGAATCGGGCCGAGGCTGAGAAACCCTAAATTAAGGCAACAGATAAAGGTATACAGAGAGAGGAAGACTTCCCCTTCTCCCATGTAGTCCCATCTGGGGAGAGACTACAAAGAATTGTTGTGTTTCTTTCCAAGGAGAAGAGGGGGAAAAATCCCCCACACCCTACCTCCCCCATCAAGGTCAGTATTATCATGGTTAGCATTTCCTTCCAGTCTTTCCCCTACACATTAAAAAATATACTTGAGATCATACTGCCCAGTTGTATGTACTTTTATTACTTAAAACTACAAGATAAGACATATCAATGGATGAGCCATTATTCAATTAACCAGTCTGCCAGGACTGGGCCACAATGAACAACCCTAATTCCTGATTTTCTTCCTCTCAGATGGCTTACGTCAGTTTTTAAGAAGTGGGGTCTATAGGGATGAATATTTCCAAAAAGCTGCGTCCTCCTTCTGTTCTTAACCAGGTTGACTCCTGACTCGGGTGCTCAAGCCCTGGCCTGGCCTCGGGAAGCCCATCACACACATGGTGGGTCCTTCACACACCACTAAAGTTTGCCTTCAGCTAGTTGTCCCTGTGACTGACTACCTGCTCATTAGCTGTTCCCCCACCTGACTGGAACACCCATGAGGCCAGGGCCCATGGTGTCCGTTCACGCTGCATCCCCACAGCACCCTGTGCACGCCTGGCACACTACAGACACTAAGTACTTGCTCGCTGGAAAAGGTTTGTGCCAATTGACACGCTCCAGGGCACCTAAACGGCATCTGTTGCAACAGAGCTTGTCTTTGCCCAATGGGTGTGTTTCAGCAGCGACGCTGCAAGAACAAATTGTACCCAGAGATACGTGCACCGCCTGGACGGATCACCTGAAAACGGTGCCAAGTGAAAAGTCAGTGCTAAAAGGTATGACCTCATCTACATAACAAAATGACACATGTTCAAATGACAGAATTTTAGAAATGTCAACAGTGGTTGCCAGGGGCCATGAGGGAAATGGGTGTGGCCATGGAAGAAAGTGGGTGTGGCTATGGAAGAAAGGGGCATGGTTATAGAAGTGCACTGTGAGGGATCCTTGTGGCGGTGAAAGTCTCTGGATCTGTGTTCAGGTCGTGGCTGTAACCCCGGTGCCAAAGAGGGTGGGCCTTCGTCAGATGCACCGGAGACAGGCCTGGGGCATCGCCAACAGGCCAGGTTTGATCTCAAGCTCTCAGTTGTGCACCCACTGACATCCATCTCCAGTCCCACATCTGGAGCGAAGACCAGGGTGGGGGGTCCTGAGAACTGGGTGGGGCCGGAGCACGCACCTTGGTGAAGAGCCTCCACCACTGCCAGTTGCGCAGCTTGAGGTAGGCGGCACAGTTCCTCTGAATCACCTTCATGGCGGTCAGCTGCTGCTGCCTCTTGGCAAAGGCCCTGGGGAGAGGGGCAGGGAGCGTGAGAAGCCCTGGTCACCAAACACCAGTCTCGTCTTGCTGTCATAGCAACCCACCCCGCAGCATCCTGAAAGCAAGGCACGTCTGGTTCGCTTGTGACTTTGTGACAATCCCCCCTTTTCTCCAGCTCGGGTCCTTCCAGGGGCTCTGAGCACCAGCACAGGGGTACTGTCTAGGCACAGAGCATTCAAATAACATGGAGGCCAGGGCCTTTCTCAGCAGGCAAGGGGGACCCAAGGCTCACAAAATACCCTGAAACCAGAGTTGTGATCCAAACATCGAGGAAACCAGTCCGTACTACATCATCCCTGGGGGACCCTGCTCACGCCCAGCTGTGCCACGGCTTCCCCAAAGCGGAGTGTCTGACAAACCTGTTCCTTCCTCAGGCGTGTTTCAGAAACCTCAAACCTGAGCTAGATCTAGCACTCTTCTTGTTTAAGGGCTGTTAGGTTTGAGAAACCATGAACAGTGAGTTCAATCCTCTTCTCTGCCATCTTGAACTTGAAGACTAAAACTGCCCTCCGTAGTCTGAAGGCGGGGTTGCAGGTTGGGGTGGTACCAGAATTATGAAACTTAAGTTAGGTCTGTTCCTGGACCAAGAGCTCCCCAGCTCTGGCCTTGACCATCTTGGGATCCCTTGGCACTGAATCAGATCAACACCATCAGGACAGATGACAGCAGGAGCCATAATTCATGATGACATAACCCCGCACAGAGCGGCTCCACCAGTTCCTGCCAGCCTTGAAAGTTACACCCTCACATGGGCCCAGGCTTCCCAACACAGAAGAGGCATCAGACCTTCCAAGACCCTGCCTTATGAATCCCATCTGGACATAAGGCTACAGATACAGCCACATACCCTTTCCTAGGGTACCTAATCATATTCTCACACTTCTGAGATGATAACCAGGCACTGTTCACAACTCTTTTCAGGAAGTATTCCACTGACTCCTCATAAACCATTCCACGAGGCGGGAATGAGTATGCTATTTTCCATGGAGAGACCTGAGGCTCAGAGAGGTAGAGTACTTTGCCCAAGGATCATGAGCAAGTAGGTGGGGAGCCAGGATGAAAACAGAGGTCTAATGCTCCAGAGTCACTGTCCTAACCTCCCCGCCTGCCCTCCGAACCCAGGCCTACATTAAATGGTAGCATTTCTTCCCCCCAAGAAAACACGGCCATCCCATCAATGGAGCATCTTAACGCAGATGGCCTAGTAGAGTCAGGGAATCAGAACATGAGGCCAGCCGGCAGGTGTGGCTCAGGGGTTGAGTGTCAACCTACGAACCAGGAGGTCACGGTTCAATTCCAGGTCAGGGCCGATGCCCTGGTTGTAGGTTCGATCCCCAGGGTGGGGCATGCGGGAGGCAGCTGATTGATGATTCTCTCTCAACATTGATGTTTCTCTCTCTCCCCACATCCCTTATTCTCTTAAATCAATAAAAATATATTTTTTAAAAAAGGAGAAGAACGTGAAGCTAGCAAGCTCCCTGAAAGTGTGTGTCTCCCACCTGAGTGTGTTTGTGGGGAGGGGACAGTAGGCGGGCCCTTACTTTCTGGCCAGGTAGCCGCGACACATGGCCTGGAACGCCATGATGACATCGGTGATCTTCAGGTCCCGCTCCTCCTCCAGGTGGGCCAGGACCCCGGTTCGGAAGAAGATCTTGCTCTGCCCGATCCTGTACAGGTTGGGGTCGAGTTCTAGGGCCTTGATCTGCAGAAGGAAGGAAGGAAGGAAGACAAGCGTTCCCATTCTCCGCCGTGCCTTGTGACCAGGGGTGAAGCCTGTTGAAGGAAGGTCACCCCCAAAGCAGCTCCTGGCAGTGCCACCAGAGCCGGGGAGGGCTGCGGCCGGATTTCAGGGGGGGCGGAGCGGGGTTGGGCTCACCATGAGGATGCAGGCCTGCTTCCCGTCCATGAAGCCTTTAGGAATGGCATTGGCGGCCAGGATCTCGTAGCTGGAGACACAGGACAGAAGTCACCCACCGAGCGCCTCTCCATGGGCCACCCCTCCGCTGCCCGCTCGCCCACCGCCCCGCGGGTGCCCGCCCCGGGGCTCACCGCTGCCGGAACTCCTGGAAGACGATCCTGTTGGGGAAGCCCTGGCGGCAGATGCGGATGCCCTCCAGCACCCCGTTGCACCGCAGCTGCTCCAGCACCAGGAAGGCGTCCAGCTTGCCGGACTGCAGAGGTGGAGAGGGCAATGGGCCACCGGGGCTGGGACTCGGGGAGCAGCAAGCCCCGAATCTCAGGCCTGGGTGATCCTCCTTCCCCCTACCAGGCCACCAGGATCAACCCGGTGAGGTCTCAGCGGAGGGCTCAGGAGATCTCTCTCTCTCTCTCTCTCTCTCTCTCTCTCTCTCTCTCTCTCTCTCTCTCTCTCGTACTTGATGGTGATGCTATTGCCATCAAGTACGAGAGAGAGAGAGAGAGAGATCTTCCTGGTCACCTTCCTCTTCCTGGTCACCTTCCTCTTCCTCACGTCCTGTCCATCACCAGTTCTAAAGCTCCGACCTCCCCACTATCTGGTCACCTTCTTCCTGGTCTTCCTGGTCACCTTCCTCTTCCTCACGTCCTATCACCAGTTCCAAAGCTCCGACCTCCCCACTATCTCCCGACCCACCTACTTCTCTCCGTTGGCCATTGTCACTGCCATCCACTCGCCACCCTCTTCTCCTGCCCAGACAAAGCCCACCGCAGCCTCCTACCTGGTCTTCTCACCCCATCCTGCCTCTCCCCTCACTTCCTCATTAGGTTTCTAAGGGGCAAACCTGATCATGACGTACCCCTGCTTTAAAGCCCCAGTGGTATCAGAGAAGGAAGGCCAGGCTCTGGTCCACCCACAGGCACTCCCTGTTCAGCCCCAGCTCTTCCCAACCCCTGCCTCCCGCCATCACACATCAACATGAAACCCCTACCCAGCGTTTTCTTGCCAAGATGCTTCGTTCGTGACCTCCACACTGGTTGTACCAGTCCCTCTGCCGCCCCCTCCGCAGCCTTCCCTCCACTTCGCCAAGCTGATGCCACTCGGCGTGCCTGTTCTCTAGGAAGCTCCCTCTCCGCTGTTTGGAGTTCTCATACTTTAGCACATTGCACCGTGGTCATCAGCTCGTGTCTGCCTCTCCCACAGACCTCCCGCCCCGAGCACTGCTGACACACTGTGTGGGGTCCTTCTCTGCCGCGGGGCTGCCCTGCGCACTGTAGGACGCTTACACAGCCCCGGCCTCTACGCACTGGATGCCTGTAGTAGCCCCCTCCCAGCGATGACAACCACAATGTCCCCAGACGCGGCCAGATGTCCCCTGGGTAGGGGCCCCACCTGAGCACCCCTACACCGGACTACAAAACTCTGCAGGTGAGGACGGCAATGTATCCAGCACTGTCTCCCCAGCACTTGCGGGAACTCGGGGACTACCGGCTGGAGTGATGAATTCCTGGAGACTTGATGCCTCGTACAGCAATTCCAGGGCCACAAGTGTTGGGCACACTCTCCCTTCCTGTCTTCTTTTGCCTCCAGGATGGGGAGTGGACCCCCAATCCAGCCACCCTTCCACCATGTCCGATGGAGCCCTTGGGGTGGTGGGGGTCTGGCCTTCTTCTTGCCCCTCTACCCCCGCCTGCCTCCCCCTTCCCTGCGGACCCTGGTGATGTCCCCGGGGGACGCTCTGACCGCCCCCTCGCCCCCAGCACCACCCCCAGCAGCCGGCGGGCGGCCTAACCCTCTTCTCGTGGTTGGGGATGATGCAGCGCACGAAGTTGGGGGTGGTGTTGCGCAGCGTGGTCATGAGCTTCCCCAGCTGCTCCTTGTACAGCTGCCCCACCGTGCGGAACATGCCCTTCTTGGTCTTGGAGGCGCTGGGCAGCGAGCTCTCCGTCATCTTGGCCATCTGGTCCAGCCCCACGATTCGGTCCACTGGGGGCGGGGGAGGGGCACATTGAGGGCGCCATCGGCCTCTGGCCTTCCCAGGGCCCCGTTCTTCTCTCTGCTGCCAATGCCTCCCTCCAGCACTAGGTAAGGGGGGATTGCTTTCCCACTGTTATCTTCTTGGGGAATCTGAGAGCTCCCGGGTGATGGAAAGTGTGTGGCAGGGGTGAGGCAGGAGTTCAGTCTTTCCAACTCCAGAGTGGGCACTCCCAACTCATCATGCCTCGGACCCTACTGCCTCCGTCACTGTCCTGATGTCAGACCTTCTCCCGGGGGCCCAGGTGTGGGGTTAAGGGGCTCTGAGGTGGTTCAATGTATCAAGACGTTGCTAGCACCTGCCAACATTGCCCTCTCCTGCGGCCCCACACGGCCGCCCCTCCTGGGAGCGGGTGTGGGCATCGGGGGGGGGGGGGCAGCTGGAGGAGGAAGGAGGGAGGAGGGAAGAGGGGAGGACCCTGGTGCCCAGCTCGCCAGCTCCAGCAGGCGGGGCCTTACCGTCCTTCCACAGGTCGGCCACAAACTTGTCGGAAGAGGCGTTGAGGAGGGCGGTCACGTTGTCATTCAGCGGGTCCATGTTCTTGGTCAGCCAGGCACTCGCGTTGTAGTCCACCTGCCAAGAACCAGCCTCTGGTCAGGGGCTCCTGCTTCAGTTCTGAACTCAGGGCAGGGCCAGAGTCCTCCCTCTTCCCTCCCAGCTCTTCCAAGGTCAGCGAGTAAATGACATTAGCAGCTGCCATGGTGAGAATCCATAAACTCCAACGAAAAGACCAGCAGATCGGGACTTTAAAGGGCCCTGCATAACACACAGTAGGGCAGCAGCCAATGGCAGCCACTGCTGGAAGGCCTTGTCTCTATTCCTTGCCTTCTCCTAGTAACCCTTCTCTGGCAGCCTCCAGAGCCTGGGATGTTGCCAGTTGCCCTCCGAGTGGTGAAGAGCTTGGCTGATAATAAATGTCTCCCTCATGTGAAAGTTCCCCCTACTCTGGGAAGCCTCAGCAACAATGCCAGTTTTCACATTAAGCGTGTGGACCTCTTCTCCTCTCTCTGATGAATATAAGTTTTGTAACTGGGAGATTTTGATACATGGATGTAAATACCCAACTTGAATACTGACCGTGGCCAAAGCCTTCACTTTTTTACTTTTTATTATTTATTTTTGTTAATCCTCACCTGAGAATATTTTTTCCACTGATTTATTTTTATTTACTTATTATTATTATTATTTTTAGAGAATGCAAGGGAGGGAAGGAGAGAGAGGGGGAGAGAAACATCAATGTGACAGAGACACATTGATAGATTGCCTCACAAGTTGGGGCCAGGGATTGAACCTGCAACCCAGGTACATGGGCCAATACTCTAACCACTGAGAAAACCAGCCAGGGCAAGCCTTCATTTCATGATTGTGACTAAGAAATGGAAGCAACTCGTAAAATATCTCTGGTGGGTTCTTACGGGATATGGGTTGTTACGGTGATGGCCAGGCCTGATCTGAAAGAGGACTACAAGGAAACCACCTGTAAAGTGGGGAAAGAAAAACATTCTCTCTCTGCGCCTACAGGAATGATGCTTCCTTAAGTATAGGTAGGAGCTGGCAAGCTTTTTTAAAGGCCCAGATTCTCAGTTCTGCAGGCCATACAGTTTGTCATAGCCATTCAACTCTGTAGTTACAGCATAAAGACAACCATAGATGTTATGTAACCAAGTGGATGCCAATAAAGCTTTATTTACAAAAACAGGCTGTGTCAGATTTGGTGCAAGAACTCTAGTTTGCTAAACCCTGATTTAGGGCATTGCCTGTTCCCATGATGCAGTGGGGATTCTAGAGTCAATAAAAATGCTCTAAGATTCTGTAATCCAAACCAAGTTATTTCTTTCTACATTTCGCAGGCGGCACAGGGGAAGGTTCTGTACATTAACAGCCACGAAGGACAAGGATGATGATGAGTATGGTGATAATGAAGAGGAGGAAGAAGAGGAGTTGACAACAACAAGGTGACAACATCACACACTTCTCTGGATGGAATAGGCTGCCAATGGCAAACCCAAGGCCATAATAAAAGAGATTCTTGTGAACCCAAAATTGGGTTTACTGGTCACCCCATTCTGGCTGGTTCTTCCTGCTGGGTTTACCCTGCATCAGGAAGAATTTAGAGTCTATACAAGATAAAGAACTAGCTGGCCACCATGGTTGGGTTACATACATACATATCTTGTCCCTTCCAAACACTTAGACAAAATCATAAATAGCCTTGCTTGGGATTTGATTCACACCAGATGCCTTTGGTTCTGCCATTCCCAAGGTGCTCTTGCTCTGAGCATTCCTTGTGAGGTCTCCAGGACAGACAGACCCCTGGGACACGCAATGGGTACCTTTCCAGCATAGTGGATGATGGAGAACTCTGTTTTGTCCTTGAGCTGCTTGGGCTTCTGGAACTTGGGGTGGTTGCCCTGCTCGGAGCACAGCTTCTCCACGAAGGACGTGTCTGTGGCTTTGGGGAACCAGCACTCCTCGTCCAGCAGGGCGAGCACGCCTGGAGGGTTGTTCTGTGGAGGACAAGCAGGGCAGGGTCACAGCCAGGGCTAAGCCTCAGGCTCACCACCTAAACACACGCACAGCAGCCCCCTCGCTCTCATATCATCTCTGCCTACATATAAAGATGGATGTGTACCCTCTTTATTTTTGTTCCCTCCCTGCAAAATATATCCCCAAATTACCGTGTGTCCAATGGACCAGCATTGGAGATAGAAGGGCAAGCACCACCAACAGAACATGTTTGCTCCTGCCCTCTAGAGGGCAGTACATGCAACATCACAAAGATTTTACACCTTGCTTTATTATACACTCTAGTGTGCTGGTGCACGGATTTGTGCACATTGAAAGGAAATTAATTAGAAGAAATATCTTAATATCACTATTCACCCTTTCTATATAATAGAAGTGTCAACCAAATTCACGATCAACAGTGACAGATCGAAACATGGCATACCACTGGCACCAACGAGAGCTTTATATGCATGTGCAAGTCAACCTAGCCTTTTATATATATAGAATAAACTTGCTTAATTAGACCTGCTTTCTGATTTAGCTAAACTTTTTTCAGCCCAGTGAAACACCCCAACTTCTCTTTCAGGTAATTGTTCGCAACACAGTAGTAAATATCAACCTGAAGCAGATTATTATTGTAGATCCCACAGGGAGAACAAAGGGTAAAATATTTAACTGCAGCAGTGGTTTACTATATTCTGCGCAGTGAGAAAACCTGAAGTCATTTTCAAGGTTCACCGTTTCTTACTTCTTTTCAGTCGGCTCAAGTTTCTAAACTTTCTAAATCTCCTTTTTTCAGCTAATGAAAATAAAATAGGATTCTACCAAGTCTCCTATCTACTCTACTCCAGGACTTCTGTGGGGATCAAATGAAATGAGGCACGGAAAACACTTCACAAAAGATTTGGTTAAAGTGTAAAATGTTTGCACCTGGCTATAAAGCAAGTCAGGTTCCTGGGCTGAAGAAACTCCAAGGAGGCTAGTTGCTAGAGAGAGGAAGCCAGGTGTTGCTATGTGATGTCATTACCAGATGCCCACAGTGACCATTTCCAGGTTGGGCTGTGGGCAGCATTTTGCGCCATGGGGCAGCATAGGCTGTGATTTGGTGGGTTGTCACTTGGGTGGTGGTGGACCTGTGTCCCACTTGGGAGAAGCCGAGTGTTGGTTTTTCGGTGCCAGGCCCGCAGTGCCATTTATTTTTAAATGGCCAGTGCACATCATGGTAGCTCCTGCATTAAGTGTCTTCCCCCTGGTGGTCAGTGTGCATCATAGCTACCGGTCAGATGGACAGACACTTAGCCTTTTATATATATAGATTCACCTCAGGGTTCTTTTCAGTAAAGCACTTTCCTGTGGGAGACAGTCTAGACCAGTGTTCAGCAAACTCATTAGTCCACAGAGCCAAATATCAACAGTACAATGCTTGAAATTTCTTTTGAGAGCCAAATTTTTTAAACTTAAACTTCTTCTAACGCCACTTCTTCATAATAGACTTGGTATTTTGTGGAAGAGCCACACTCAAAGGGGCCAAAGAGCCGCATGTGGCTCACGAGCCGCAGTTTGCCGACCACTGGTCTAGACTAATGTGTCAAGAGCCCAGCCCTATTTGCAAATGCCATTCATTCTGCTGGAATGGTCTTCACTCTTTGGACTCAGAATTGGGAAGTGCTCCCCCTGCTCTGTGCAGTCATTCTCCGCGCTGGCTTTATCAGGATGTTCACTTGCTTCACTTGTTTGTCTGGTTCTATTGCCTGCTGCTCCAGGAGGACAGGGGCCAGGTTCATCTCATCCCTAACCCCTAAAGACAGGCCCAGAACATAGTAGATGCTCAATAAATAGTCATTCAACAATTATTCATTGGGCACCTACTATGTGCATAGTTCTAGGGGTTTGAGATACATCAGATACAAAACAAAGACTCCTGGCTTTGACAATAAATGAATGGGAATGAGGGGAAAGAAAAGGAAGGGAAGGGAAAGGAAGGAAAAGAGGAGGGAAGGGAGGGAGGGAAAGAGAAGTAAAAAAGGAAAATACCTTTGCTTTCACATGTGGGGTAAGGGAAAGAGTGACGGAGCCCACAGGGACTCAGGGCTGGGGGAAGTGTGCACACGCGGAGCGGGCAGGGCCCGTGTGCCGCTGCAGGGGCCACACACGCATGCGAGTGTGACGGGGGCCCTCACCGGCCGCTCGATGAGCTCGATGCAGGGCTGCAGGTCCAGCCCGAAGTCGATGAAGTTCCACTCGATGCCCTCGCGCTGGTACTCCTCCTGCTCCAGGATGAACATGGTGTGGTTGAACAGCTGCTGCAGCTTCTCGTTGGTGTAGTTGATGCACAGCTGCTCGAAGGAGTTCACCTGCGTGGGACAGCGAGGGGGCCCGTGAGCATCATGGATGGAGGCAGGGGATCAGGCCTTAAAGAGACGCTCCGCCCTGGGGAGAGCCCCAGGGCCCAACACCCTTTCCACCAGCGCCCGCTCTGCCATTTCAGCACCCAGCGCGGGCTCAGGCCCCAAAAGCGGCTGCCTACAGGTCACGGCGGGCTGGCAAGTGCACCTGCTCTCCTGTCACATGGTCTACACACACACTGCTTTAAGGATGCTCATCCCCTCCATCTGCACAATGATTTGTGGGAAGGGAAGAATCACCATGTAAGGTATTTTATCACCCCCATTTTGCAGATGCAGAGACAGAGGCTGGGAGAGGCAGTAATCCCATGGTAGACAGGTTTTGGAATATCTGTCAATCTCAACACGTCCCCTCTCGCTGAGAATGTCCCTCCCACCCATGGGCGTGAGATCCAGTAGCCATGCCACACCACACAAACTAAGGCAAGACCCCGGAGATAGTGCTTGGCTCTAAGGTGACCACGTGGCCCAACCCTGGTGAGTCTGAGTCCAGGAGACTCAATGCCAAGATTTTGGTTAGAACTGGCTGCAACTGTGGTCAACAGCGGGAACTGGCTGCAGCTGCCAAGGCTGCTGAGTGGCCGTTGGGGGCTGTGGCCGTGATCTTGCCACCATGAGGGGAGTCAGTGTGAGAACAGGTCAGAGTGTTGGGGGGTGGGGGGGTGGAGAGAGGGGGATGGCAGGAGATGGAGGCCTTCTCAGTTTCACAAGCCAATGTCTTCCCTGCCGGACTTCTGTCCCTTCCACCCTCAAGGACAGCCCCCACCCACAGCAGCCATCTGCCTGCCTTTCCCCAGCATGATGCGTGCCCCGAGAAGAAGCTCCACCCTGGAGAGCCATGGCCATGGCTGTGTCATCCCATCACGTTGTACCTCAAAGATCTCAAATCCAGCAATGTCCAGGATTCCCAGGAACGAGGCCCCTTGCCGGTGGGTCTTGTCCAGGGCTTTGTTCACACGGCTGAGGATCCAGCGGAAAAGGCGCTCGTACGTGGCCTTGGCCAGAGCCTCGATGGCAAAGTCGGCCTGTGGGGGGAGCGAGGGGACACGGTTACGCCTGTGGGCTGTGTTTTCACGGGAACCCAGCAGATGGCTCCGATTTTTATTCTTCTCCTACTTCTAATCGGCCCTCAAAAAACACATACACACAAAAAGGAAACAACACCCTATCTGCACCCAGCAGAAAGTGGCAGGGAGGGAGAGCGAGCTCAGATCTGAGGAATGACTGTGTGGATACGTGCACACGCCCAGCAGAGGGATCAGGCACAGAGAGGCGCCTGTTCCACCCCAGAGGGCATTCATAGGTGGTCAGTCCTGCTCGTAGGAAGGGTACACAGTCATTTCAAAATCTTTAGGTCCGGACTGGTCCCTCCAACTAAAAGGTTAAGGTGAGGTCATGGGTGACGGATTCTGCTGTTCTTTGCATTGCTGTGTTTTCAAAACCTGGCAGGGACTTTGACTATTCTGGTATTGAATAGATGAGGGACCAAGATATGGACAGAGGAAAAGGAAGATAGATTGATAATGTATAAATGGGTGGAAACATGGATGGAAAGATAAATGAATGGGTGGATAAGTGGATAGATGGGTGGGTGAAGGGATGGATAAATGATGGACGGATGGACAAAATGTGAATAGATAGATGAATGCATGGATGGAGAAATGAAGGGATGAATGAGTGGATAAGTGGATAAATGGATGGATAAATGAATGGATGGATGGATGAGTGGATAGATGAATAGATGGATACATATATGGATAAATGACTGGCTGGCTGGCTGGATGTAAGATTCTGCAGGAATAAAGAGTAAGTGCATCCTTACCTGTTCTTTGGTCTGAGCTTTCTGTACCACATCCCGCCCGACTTTTATACGTGGGGTAAGGATGGCTCTGGTGAAATCCGTCACATTAATGCCCATGAGGTGACAAACTTTCTGAGCAGCTGCGTGGAGAAAACAAGCATATTGAGTGCATGACAAAGAGAAGGCTTGGGGACTACACACATCACATGGGACATGTGCACAGACATTGGTTTTGGTTCTTGTTGGGGTGTGTAACTCATAAGTAGTGCACACAGCATATGAAAGTCCTAAGAACTGCTATTATTGGTGACCCAATGCACTGCTCAGAGGCCATGACAGGGTGGGATGGAGGAGTGCTCCAACTGGGGGCTTCAGGCCAGATGTTCTAGGTTCAAGCCCTCGCCCCTCCCACATCCTAGTCACGTGATGATGGAAAAGCCATTCAACTGCCTGGAGTCTTGTTTTGCTCAGCTTGTAAAAAGAGTCCGCTGTTTGGTACCCTGTGGGGTTGTAACAGGGTTAAATGAGGTCACATATGGGAAGTGCCTGACATTTAGTCAATTATTGATAAACACTTGTTCCACTGTTTCAAGAGACGTCGTGCAGCATTGCTGGTAGTGACAAAACATTGGAAACACCTGTAAACCATTAATATGGGAGCAGACAGACCATGGTATTTTCATAAGATGGAATACCAAATATCAGTAAAGGGATGACCTCCCTTCCTTCCTTCTTTTCCTCTCTCTCTCCCCCCGCAAGGGGTTATCAACTAAGGATGATTTTGCCCCCAGGGGATGGACATTTGACAAAGTCTGGAAACCTTTTTGCTTGTCACTCCAGGTTGTACCACTATGGAGAAATCCCGATCTAGACAATGGTGAGTATAGAACAGAAACAAAATCAAGTCGAAGAATGGTATCTGCAGTGTGCTATCATTTCTATAAATTAAAAACACTCACAAAGCAACTTTCTATATCGTTCCACCACATGGGAGTGACACTGTGAAGACAAGGCTGAGGATGTGCAGGGGAGGTGCGAGGAGGAGAGGACCCGCTGGGAGAACCAGGGCTGTCCCTGTGTTTGCAATTCTATGTTGCTTTGTTTCATTTTAAAGACAAAGCAGCATTAGAAAATAGTCCCAAATAGCAGTTCTGGATGGTGGACTCGTGGATTCTTGTTATATGTGTATTTCTGCATTTAAAAGACTTCTATTTAAAAAAAAAAATTCTCCATTAACGTGAAGACTAGTGTTGCATGATATTCACACATGCACGGCGGGTGACAGAATGGAGTGGCTTTCGGATGTTTCCCATGTCTTTGCCAGGGGTTTTTGGGCTTCCCTTTCTCTGATGGTCTGTCTCAGAGTGCGGATTCCTGGAACGTGCCTTACTGAGGAGGGCCGCATGGGAACCATCTGCAGGTCTCAGGGAGGGTAAGCTCGGGGGTTGCAGAAGCAGCACAATGTGCAGGCTGGGGCCGTGATGGGAGCTGGGAACTTATGTTATCCTTTCGGCTCAGCCACCAACAGCATGGAGGTAGCCAGGTGATCTTTTCAAAACATAAAATGCTGCTTATCTGTCAGATTCAGAAAACAAAAACAAAAACAAAAACAAAAACAAAAACAAAAAAAAGCAGGATGCCCAGTTAAACTTGAATGGCAGATAAACAAAAAACACTTTTTTTTTTTAAAGTATTGGAATTACATTACAGAATTATAATATATTACAGAATGTAGGATTTACTCCCCAACATTACCTAGGACATACTTATAATCAAGTGTGTTTGTTGTTTACCTGACTCTCACGTTTAATGGGCATCTTCTGTTTTATCTCATGAGGTCTGTCTCCCCAGTGTGACCGCAGGTGCCATAAGAAATGGCCGTTCCTGTCTTGTTTCTCTCCCTGTCTGGTGCCTGGCACATCATTGGCGCTGGAAAGTATTCTATGCTCCCTAAGGATCCTCCCTGATCTGAAACCCTTAGTTCTTTTCTCCCACACTCTGGGTCAAGAATTTCCCACCGTAGGATTTCAGCAGCGAAAAGCTGGGTAAAAGAAGAGGTCAGCTGGGACCGGTTTGGCTCAATGGATAGAGCGTTGGCTTGGGGACTGAAGGGTCCCGGGTTCGATTCCGGTCAAGGGCATGTACCTTGGTTGCGGGCATATCCCCAGTAGGGGATGTGCAGGAGGCAGCTGATCGATGACTCTCTCTCATCGATGTTTCTAACTCTCTCTCTCTCTCCCTTCCTCTCTGTACAAAATCAATAAAATATATTTATAAAAAAAAAAAAGAAGAAGAAGAAAAAGAGGTCAGTGAAAATAGCTTAGTTTAGCCCTTGTTAATACCCCACGTAGCCTCGTCCAGAAAATCAACCGAAGGCTGAGTGTGACCCTCCCGCCTGTCACCCAAGCTGTTAGTTCCTGGGGAGAGGGGCCTCACCTGTGTTGTCCGGCATGGACGCCTGGTCCGTGTTCCTCTCCTTCTTGAAGACGATATTGCCCAGCTGCAGGACTGACGACACCACCTTCAGGATGGCTGAGGGCAGGAGAGAGCAGACAAGACACAGCCGTCAACACCAAGGTGCTCTGGAGGTCTGGCATCTAAACTCCCTTGGCAGCTACCATCTTTTTCCTAAAGACAGTCAATTCTGAGCTTTTAAGAGAAAGCCAAATTTCCCCAACTCCCTGCTAATGACGAAGGGGAAAGCTGGCCGGGGGAGAACATTTTCAAATGGCAGCTAACAACTGTGCACTACCAGGGGATACCATACTGGATAGCTGGAGTTGGCAAACTGCAGCCCCTGGACCACATCCTGCCCATAGCCTGCCATTTTAAATAAAGTTTTATTGGAACCCAGCTGCGCTCGTTCACCTTCGTGCTTTGATGACAGAGTTGAAAAGTTGCAACAGAGACTGTACAGCCGCATGGGCTAACATATTTACTATCTAGCCTTTACAGAACACCGCTGTGGACCAGGCACTGCTAAGACAGTATGAAAGGGGCTTTGTAAACTGTCCAGTGCTATACTCATGGTTTGTAAACTGCGGATCTAAACTAGGGATGGATGACAGGCCTGCAGAGCCCAGGGAAGCAGCCTAACTGAGGGTTTCTCCAAGGAGGCCCCTATTGCAGAGGCTTTGCTGTACAATGTTTAGCTGCATCCCTGGTCTCTAACCACTAGATGTCAGTAGTGCTCTCCTTACAGAGTTAGGACAACCAGAAATGTCTCCAAATTCTGGCAGATGTCCTCCATCCCCCAGGGAGCCAACCCCCCTTAGTGGAGAACCACTGGTCTAAATGAACAAAGGGGACTGTGGGGACTCTTGGGAGCCATGACCCCGCCTGAAGGGGAACTGACTGGAGAGGCAAGCCCAGCGCAGCCAGACTTGTGATCTTAGCAAAGATAACAGAAACCCGGGTTTCTATGTGAAATCTATTCACGTTTAAATGTGCAAGGCAATTAAAAAAAAATGTATATGTTGTGAAGGCCAATCCCTCCTGTGGGCCAGGAGCCAGCAGTTTGCACCTTCTGGTACAGGTAATGTGCTCATGACAGAATGGTGGCCACTGTCTGGCCACAGGAGATGAACCAACTAAAAGCGCCAGTGGACAGGAAAGTGGCGAGGGTGCTGAGGCAGGCAGCCTGGGACGGTGGCTGAAAACAGGCACCCGGGAGCTATGAAATCCCTAGTTCAAACCCCAGCTCTGCCTCCTCAGCCTCAGCTTCCCAATCTGCAGAAGGGAGATGGCCATATAGCACCGGCTTCACAACGTTCATGTCAGGAGAGATGACCAAGCCAGGGGCCTGCCCCCGTGGGGGCTAAATAATGGCAGCCACCTGAGGTGGGCTTAACAGCACCCTCTCCCTGCAAAGCTATGTCCACCCGGAACCTTTGAATGTGGCCTCATTTGGAAAAAAGTCCTTTGCAGATTTGATTAAGTATCTTACACGAGATCTCCTTGGATTAGCCTGGTGGCACTAAATCCAATGACAGGTGCCCTGAAAACACAAGCGGAAATGCACTGGGAGGTGATAAGCCAAGAGAGGCTGAGATGGGAGTGAGGTGTTTATTGGCAGAGAAATGCCAGGGATTGTGGGTAACACCAGGACCCAGGAGACAGACATGGGGTGGATTCTCCCTAAGAGCCTCCAGAAGGAACCAACCCTGCTGAGACCTTGATTTTGGACTTCCAGCCCCCGGTACCGAGAGAGGATAAACTCCCATTGCTTTAAGCCACCCAGTCTGCGGTGACTTGTTACAGACTAATACACCACTCTTTATTACTGAGGAATAAAAAGCAGGTTCCCAACACATGGCATGTGTACTACCATAGGTACACAGGATAAGTGATCTTAGGTGGCATGAGAAATTTTTTAATTTTTTTAATAGGTATTTATCCTAATTTGTTAGACATAATAAAACCAAGGCATACAATTGGTCATTTTACAGAAATTGTTAAGACAAAGCTCAGAGCAGATGAGCTATAGAAATCTACCTCTTCATAAAAATATTCTGCCAACAGTACAGAATGACTGACCCAACCTGTGCCTGGGGATGTCTGAGTGCACAGGTGCTGGGACTAGTGGCCCGGTCTGTCCTTCGCAGCTGTGTGGCCTGAAGTTTTGCCATCTGAAGGCCCATAAAAACTCCTACCTCATAGGACTGTCATGAGGACTCAATGTGCCTAAACATGGTCAATGCCCAATAAACATTTCTGCCATTATGTCATATTATTCCAGCCCTCCACTGTTGCTAGCTCTCTGTGACCTGGGTGAGTATGCCTCCCTCACTGAGGTCAGGAAACAGAGGGGCATGGTCACCTGGAGCGTTATGAAGCTCTGGGGCTCGAGCCTCACCCCTCACCCCCATTCCCCTTCAGCCTCTTTGTGAAGGGTTGGGAGTCACTCTGTATTTATAATTGGGATTGATGTACAAATAGTCGAAGTCCATGTCCTGTGGACCTCCATCATTTCCACTCCCTCATCTTTTTTTTTTTAAATATATATTTTATTGATTTTGTACAGAGAGGAAGGGAGAGAGATAGAGAGTTAGAAACATCGATGAGAGAGAGTCATCAATCAGCTGCCTCTTGCACACCCCCTACTGGGGATATGCCCGCAACCAAGGTACATGGCCTTGACCGGAATCGAACCCGGGTCCCTTCAGTCCCCAAGCCGACGCTCTATCCATTGAGCCAAACCGGTTTCGGCCCACTCCCTCATCTTAATGCTTGCTCTACCTGCATACTCTCTGCTCCATTATTTCCTTATCATTTTTCTTTACATCCTCTTATTTTTCTTTGTTTAGATTTACTTTAATAGGAAAGTAGCTCTATCTTAAATGAAAATCAGCTTCCCTTGCTGTAAGTACATAGCAACTATAACAATAAAAAATATTATTAAATTCTAGCAAGATGCTGGGAATGCCGAGGTGCTGGGCCTGGGCTCTACTCTTGGTGTAAAAAGGGAGATTAGCAAGTACCAGAGAGGATCTGGTGGCATAGGAGTGCCAAACTCTCTTTGAAAGTCATCTGGAAAACTGAAGGGAGCAGAGAAGGGAACTCTGTCTCATGGTGGGATTCTGCTTCACTGATAATGATGTGAGCCTTCATTTTAGAATATACTAGGCTCCCACTAGCCCTGGTTACCAACTCATGACTCTGACACAGAATTTTAAGAGTTTAAAGGACAAAAACCACCTTCCTTCCCACAGACAAATGCAGAGCACAGTAAGTCGCAAAACAGGGCTTGGGAGTCCCAAGACCCGAGACCGAGTCCCAGCCCCACCAGTAACTCGCTGTGTGTCCTTGGGCAAGTTCCTTCACTTCTCTGTGCCCAGTTTCCTCTGAAAATTTGGGATAATAAGCAGCCACTTCATAGAGTTGTTGTGATTAAATAATGCATCTAAAGCATTTAGTGTATTGCCTTGTCCCCTGATATAATAGCCCCATCATTCTAGTTAATAAGGTCAAACAATAATGTAACAAATCCTCTATCAATCAATATTTTAGTATGTTCCAGTTTTCAATTATTCAAATAAAACTAGGCATGGCACATTAAAAAAAAGTGTGTGGGGGGGATTTAGCAAATGCTTGGCTCATAGCAAGTACTGAGTCATTAGTTGCATTTGTCTAAAGCAAAAGATTAGAAACCAAACTGATTCATGCCCAAAACAAAGTGAATTATTCTTGGAGAGCCCAGGCCATTCGGAAAGGGCTAACCTTGCATTCTGATACGGAACCCTGGCCAAAATCCACAATCACCGTCCATTTGTCAACTGACCCATGGAACCTTCTTTTTCTGGGTCCCCATTTATCTCAAGAGGAACTGCCCCTCCCTATTGCTGCGCTTCAGCAACCTTAGCGCTATTCTGGGGCTCCACAGGGGCGTGGGAAGGAAGGGAAATTTTCCACAATCCTGCCCTGGTGTTCCCAAAAGAGAATAACCTTGAACACTGGGGCACATCTAGCCCAGAAGGAAGAGTGTTTCTTGAAGCACAGTGTGGAGACTAAGGGTATTAGTCTTTGAGTTGCCCTATTCTCAAGGAAAGTGTGTCTCTTGGTCTGTGGTTGATGATATCCTATATAATAAAAGCCTAATATGCAAATCAGCTAAACTGTGGAACAACCAGTCGCTATGACACACACTGACCACCAGGGGGAGCACTACTCAACCACAAGCTTTGGTCACAGCTGGCAAGTGCAGCGGTGGTGGTGGGAGCCTCTATGGCCTCCACTGCAGGCGAGCAATAAGGAGTGAGGGGTCCTGGACTGTGAGAGCCCTGGACTGTGAGAGGGATGTCTGCCTGCTGCCTTAAGGGAATCAGGCCTAAGCCGGTAGGCAGACATCCCCAGAGGGGTCCCAGACTGCAAGAGGAATCAGGCCAAGCTGAGGGACCCCCCATCCCCAAAGTGCACGAATTTTGTGCACTGGGCCTCTAGTTAATCAATATTGGTCTATCACCAGACTGGCTTTCCAGGAGGAACCCGAATAAACCCACTTCCTCAATTACTCCCTTTCCCACATCCTCTGCCCACATGTTCTTGAGGAAGCCAACTACCTCTCTATCTCCAGGTCCACAAACAGAACAGAGACTTAAGTTACTCAGAGCTTTCCATAACCCTGGCTACAACGAGTAGCTCAGGTATAACATCAACCCAGGGCAGTGGTCTGCAAACTCATTAGTCAACAGAGCCAAATATCAACAGTGCAACAACTGAAATTTCTTTTGAGAGCCCAAAATTTTTAATTTAAACTTCTTCTAATGCCACTTCTTCAAAATAGACTTGCCCAGGCCATGGTATTTTGTGGAAGAGCCAAACTCAAGGGGCCAAAGAGCTGCATGTGGCTCGAGAGCTGCAGTTTGCCGACCATGGACCTAGGGCAACCAATAGAAGTCAATGAGACTCCATTTGGGAACTCAAGCAGAGAATCTACTCTGCGCTTTTCTGTTGGACATAACCCAAAGAATGTAAGGGCTGGAGCTGCAGCAGCCGTTTTGCTGCCAGACACTATAGCCAACCTGAAGTCAATGTTGACAGACCAGGTTCTAGAGACAAGTTTTGCAGCCCTAGAATTAACTGTACCTGAAACCAGTGTCCCTGAACTTTTCAGCTCTATGAGTGAATCATTTTCCTTTTTGCTGAAGTGTGGCTCCCTGGTAACTGAAAGAGCCCTAATTTATGCAGCCGCTTTTTAAGAACACCAACAACCCACCTACAGTAATATTCATTTTCATTTTCCCGTTTTGTTTTTGGGAAAAAAGGGTTGGGGAATTCAGAGAACAGAAATGTGTCCTGACTGGAGAAGAGTCCCTAACTGATTCCAGTGGAATTGAAAGCAAGAATCCAGGTCTCCCGCCAGCCCCGCCTCAGGGTGTAAAGACTTACACAGCTGCTCGTCTTCGTTGAAGCCCATGATGCCCATGGCCTCCAAGGTCTCCTGGAACATCTCGTCATCCTGGGCGGCAGGGATGGGCACGTAGCCATTGGAGAGGAACGTGTAGTTGCTGAAGCCCTCCAATAGCAAGTCGCCTGGAAGGAGGGGAAGACGGGGGGTGGTCAGGAGGGCACACAACCACTTTGAACAGGAGACTGGAATCTGGTAAAGGGTCTGGACCATCACAGTTTCTTTCCCCCTCCTACGACCTGGATGGCTTAAAGCCTTCCTTTTGCATCATCTCATAGTTGGCTTCTCCAGTCACCACTGGCCTCCTGCAGTGGGGGAGGTTATGCACTGCCCCAGGGTACCTGGCAGCTGAAAGTCAGCCGGCTCCACCGCCTAAGCATGACCCTTGACACGGGGTTGCACTGACCCAAACAGAGGGACACCTTTATCTCAATTGCCCGAAGACACCCTGCCTTCAGGAACACAGGCGTCTGGAAAGTTAGATCACTCTTTATTCGTCCATTTATTAAATTTTATGAAATAAAATCATATATGCACATGCATTTTTAAAAATCAATTTACTACCAAAAGGTTTATATAATAAAATGCCATTCTCTGTCCCACCCCTTCTGTGTCTCTCACCTTATTCCACAATAACTGCTTTTCTCTCTTTTAGCCGTTTCTTCTGGCAGTTTCCCTGATCTCTACATATTACTGTATGTAATGGGATGTTTGTATGTCATATATAATAGGCTATTTCTGAATATGCCAAAATTAGATATCATCTATTGACTTCCTACACACTCCTTCCTCTCCACCATCTATTTCCGGTTGAATCAGTAGATGAGGTTTGCGTCAGGGGTCGGCAAATCTGGTCTGCTGGTTGTTTTTGTACATAAAGTTTTATTGGAACACAGCCACTTCTACTCCTGGTCTATTGTCTATTGCTGCTGTCCTACTACAAAGGCAGAGTTGAGTAGTTGCAACAAAACTGTATGGGGTCTGCAAAGCCTAAAATATTTACTACCTGGACCTTTAGCAAAAACATTTGCCAGCTCCTTGGTTACATCTATTTAACATCGTTTTCTGTAAGGTCATGGTTCCATACCTCAGTGCCTCAGCCACCACCCTTTCCTCCCCCCAATTTATAACTGCTTCTTTTTCTTGCTTTTATAACACCCTCCAAGACATCAGGTGTCCTCTTCCAGATCAGCCTTTAATTAGGCCGGACTGTATACTACTTTTGGAAGGGAAGTCAGTGAGATGCTTTTATTTTAAAACAAAGGTCTGTTATGGGTCAAGTCACTTGGGAGCTGCTTGATAAACTCAAGGTTGAATTGACTCAAGACACCAGTTCACTCAAGCCCTTGGATTAGCTGAAATGCCTAATTAAAGTCACAAGGAGTTTGGGTCTTTGCCAAGACCTCATTATCTAGACTATGGGCACATTTAAAAGATTTTATTTTCTATAAATGCCTAACCTCTTTCAAGATCTACCATCAAGAACACACATGGTTCCTGGGAATCTTGGTTGCTAGCCTCACCCTTACCTCATTTCTGGAAGACCAGCGGCAGAGCACGAAATTGAAACCCAAGTTACCAAACAACCAAACTGCTGACTTTGGTGCTCAATAGAAGGAGGGATGTAAACATTTCTCCCTGAGCCACCCCACAGTGTCCACACCATCACCACTAATTTACCTATTGGTGGGTGTAGAGCATCCATTCAGCATGCCCCCTTTAATCCAAAATGGCTCCAGACCATCCAGCATCAAGAAGAAACAATGAATACCGCCCCCTCTGGTGGTGGCATATTGCAGTGCACCGAATTCCTAATCTAAATAACTAAAGGGGGCCACAAAAATGATGGGAAATAAAGTTTGTATTGTTCTCCTAAAGTTTTAGTCTTAAACTTATTACTAGCATGTAGACTCATATCGTGTCCCTCTATTCATTGGTATGTTCCTTTTTCTGCAAGGTGATTTATATGTTCTTTTAAGAATTAGTAGAAAACTGCATGTCGAGGATGCATCATTTCGTAACGGCAGGAAGTATAAAGTTTTTACGTAAGACAGTATTTTTCCTACAACTGAGGTCAGCACACCCCCTGTGTTTGTAAATAAAGTTTTATGGGAATACGGCGGTGCCCACTGATATACGTATTGCACTTGGTGGCTTTCCATTGTGTATAATACCCAGTAGTTGTGACAGAAACCATGTGGCCTGCAAAAAGCCTGGAAGACTTACTATTTAGTCCCTTTCAGAAAGTTTGTGAAGCCCTGAGCCCTAGATAGGCCACTTCAAAAGTCACTTTCAAAACATATATCATGGAAGTGCTTAATCCCTCCTCCCCTCCAAATTCCTTAAAACATTGAATCTTATACACTTGCAAGTTTTATAAACTGGCAAATATGGCCATTGTCTTTCTCCCTTCCTGGAAGGCACAGATTGTGTCTCACTGAACTGGACGCCTCCAAGTCTAATTGGACTTAATTACCTAGTGCCTAATTGGACGCGCTGTCTGTGTCACATCGTAGCTCAGCAAAGGAGAACGCCTGAGCAAAAGCCACACCCCCTCACTGAGAGGAGATGGCGAATGACGCGTCTGCCACCCAAAGATGGGGGTCTTTCCCTGGCCGGGCCTCAGGCTGCTTTAACAGCCTATCGCCTGGCCCCGGATGATGATGAAGGGAAGGACAGAAGCCTCCCTACTCGCACCCTTGCTGGTCACTTACTTTTCATCTTCTCCTTGGCTCCGGCAATCATGTAGTAGAAGATGTGGAAGGTCCTCTCGTCCCTGGCTTGGCGAATCGCCCGGGACTTTTCTAGCAGATCTGGTTGGGAGGAGTTAAGGATTCTGGGGATCCCATGAGTGCACCCCTTGCGGGAACCCAACCTTCTTCCCCAGGCCCTTTGCATGGGGTGCTGGAGGGAAAACCCCCAGGACAAGGGAGAGGCTCCCCAGAGAGTTCCAAGGAGCCTTACTGACAGGCCGAGTCAAGCCATCACCCTGCCTCACAGGGGCCGACCTTCTGGTTCTTCGGGAACCAAAATGAGACCACGGGGCACAGCCACAGTCCCCAGGCCGGAGAGGAGCGAGGGGAACAGAGGAAAAAGGGAGAGCATAGAAAGATAGGAGGCAAAAGACCCCACCCACCATCACTGACTCCCCCCTCTGCAGAGTGAGCTGTCTTTAGATGTTACAGAGTGAAAATAACTACCCTCTCTATAACTTAGGAATCTCTGCTCTGTTTTACCCGCAGTGTCTCATTTAAGCGTTACAAACCCCCGTAGGAAGTGAGTGTGAGTAACATTTGCATTTTCCACATAAAGAAACCGTGGCTCCAGCCGAAACCGGTTTGGCTCAGTGGATAGAGTGTCGGTCTGTGGACTGAAGGGTTCCAGGTTCAAGTCCGGTCAAGGGCATGTATATTGGTTGCGGGCACATCCCCGGTGGGAGGTGTGCAGGAGGCAGCTGGTCAATGTTTCTCTCCCATCAATGTTTCTAACTATCCCTCTCCCTTCTTCTCTGTAAAAAAATCAATAAAATATATTTTAAAAAAGAAACTGTGGCTCCAAGAGGAATATTTCCCAGGAGAGGGCCCAGCTAGGAAGTGGCCAAGCCAGGGGGAAGTCCAAACACCGAGCCAAGGAACGGGGCTTCACAGAGTGGGTGCCAGCCCAGCCTGGCTGAGTGACCTTGACCCAGAGAACTGGCCTTGGAAGGGAGACTGCAAACCCTGCCAGTTAATCTCAGGAGAGCTGTTCCCCTATGGCGGGGTGGGGTTACGGGTAGGGGTGGGCAGCTGGGCATGGAGACCATTGAGGCTGGTGGGGAAGGGCAGATGGGTGGCGGGGATGTGTACCAGATGGAGTAGAGAGATCATAAGCAGCCTCTCGTGGGCTCTAAGCGAAGGCTAACCAACCGTATTGTCACAGCCACTACAATCAGAGGCTCACTCTGGGCCAAGCCCCGTGTGAAGGGCCGGGCGCGTCATTTCATTCAACCACAATCCCGGTACACCTCCCCCAGCAGTTGCTGCCATCATCCCCACTTCACAGGGGGCAACACTGAGGCTTGGCGTGGTTAAGAGACTTGCCCCAAGCCTCGCAGCTAACATGGCAGAGCTGAGACCGGGACCCAGGCCCGTGCCATTCCAAAGCCTCCCCTGTGATCCAGGGCGCCAAATGCAACCACAACCCTCCCCTGGGTCCTGCCAGTGCCAACAACCGGCCCACATGCAGCCATGGAAAGATAACACCTTGAGGCCGCGTGGCGCCCGAAAGGCTTCTACGTCGATCAATTGCTGAACCCCAGATGTAGTCCCAAGTCCAGACACTTCTAACTGGGCCCCACGGCACCATCCAGAGGCTCCCGAGATGCCCTGTGTGTCCTAAGCTGCATGGCCGTTCCCCCGGAAAAGCTCGATTTCGGCCAGTTTCCCGTCCGTGGGCTGGAGCGGGTCACAGACCGGCTCTTTAAGGACAAGAGGCCCTGGCCTTGGCCTTGGCCCATGGCTTGATAAGGAGGAAGTGGAGCTCACACACTAGCCAAGACTCACCCAGCCCTCCCTCTATCCCGGGCATGGTTCTGAGAGATGTACATAAATCAATTTGTAAATGAATCCACTTTATCCTTCCAATACCTCTCCGTGGTCGGTATGCTGTTGCCACCCCCATGTCACTGGTGAAGCACAGAGAAGTGGAGTAACTGGCCCAAGGTCACTCAGCCAGGGAGATGCCAACCCAGAGTCAGATGCAGGCTCTCTGGGGTTCAAACCCCGGACGACCACACCCCAACGCCTGCTATTGAGGGAGAAGACCCCCGGGGTCTGAGGGTTTTGAGGGACGGAACTCTGGGGACAGAGGGGCAGCTCTGGTGCCTTTCAGGGGGGCGGCCCTGGGGCTCTGGCAGGAGGCTGGCGGGGCGGGGCGCCCGCAGGGCCAGGCCCGGCAAAGGATACACGTCTCGATGTTGGCTCCCACGATGTAACCGGTGACGTCGAAGTTGATGCGGATGAACTTGCCCTGTCGAACAGGAAGTGGTCAGCCCCCCGGCCTCA